GCTCATACTAGAGCAGCTTGAGCTATTTAAGCAGCAGGCCTAACAAGATGACTTTACAATATTTTACAAAGCCTTGAGAGAAAATGAGAAATCTTTGAGAGAAAGGACAGAACTGAGAAACTTCTCTTGGAGCCATCACAGCTCTGTCTTGGCACATCACTGGCACAGTCAAACACGAACACACAACCATTCTTCAATATTGTGCTTGGTCTTAAGCATTTCAAAATTACGTAGGTCACAAGCTATTCGAGCTTTATAGGTCAAACTAATCAGCTCCCATTATGCTTCTTAGCTAATAATCAGCAGATGGAGGGACTGGCATAATGCATTCAGTATGGCTACCTCCCTTCGGAAAGCTAGCCCTGTATTCTGCATCTGCTGAAATGCCTGCATGATCAAAGGCAGGCCAAGCCCAAATATAGTGCAATATTCTCATTTCAAGACTGCAAAAGATATGCAAACCAAATGCGAGCCTGAAGGTGTCCCAAAGTACAAAAGTACAGTAAGGATACTCCCGTAACTGAAAAGGTTGCTTGCTTGTCCTAAGTCCAAGACCAAGGCAAACATGTTTCTCACCCCAGAGTTTAACAAATAAACCAACCAAGCCACTTCTTCTCCAGGGAAGCTGAAAGCATACATACCATGTAAAGATTTCATTCCTAATGTGTACGATGGCCTTCGTAACGGTAATGACTTGGGCAGAGAAGGGTATGTGCTGGTGAAAAGGACATCATTTGGAAGGGCTTGGTCCAGGAGGGAAGTGCGGGAAGGGAAGAAGTGCTCCCTTTGACTGCTGTAAATACTCTCATCTGACAGAGTCCTCTGCAAGGCACGCCGGGAGGTGGGAGTGCTGGGGAATGGAGACTAAAAGAAAATAAGAGGAATGTGTGAGAAGCAATAGCCATACATGTCAAGAAAGCACAACACTTCAGTTCCTTTAAAAGATCATTTGTGACACTCCTTCAGAAAAGTGAGCCAATTTCAATGCAACATTTTATATTCATGGATATTTATATTCATGGCTTTCTGGACGAGTATACAAAAAATTGCAGTTAAATGTTTACATTTGTCTGCATCTCCAGGAAAGCGCAAGATTCACAAAATGGCAGCATGCTGCTATGTGGGGAGAAAGAGAGAACACGCGTGTGCATGCACACATGCATGCTGGAGGAAAAGTCTTGCTGCTCTCTGCCTTTTTTGAGGGGGTTAGTGGAGCATTCTTGTGAGTGCTAACAAAACTGCAATCCACCCCACACCGAGGCGGACACAACAGGGGCAACAGCACTAGGGAGACTGTCATCTTCCAAAAAAAAGCCATTATGGGTAAATGCAATCATCCTCATAGGCCTGGCATTACAGGGTAACGCTGTGAGTCACCAGGCAGGACGCATCAGTCGACCTGACCATGGCCGTGCCTGCTCCACCATGCCATGCCCGTTGCTTCGCTGGCTGCTTGACCGCTGGATGTTTCCTTCTTCTGCTGTGGCTCCTGCAATGAGCAGAGGGCTCGCTGCTTGCTAGCAAAGATGTGACAAACACAGTGGGTGTCCTGCTTCCGTTCTGCTTCCAAGGAGCTGAGGTGGGTGGGCCTAACAAGACTGGATGGAGCGGTAAGCTCAGCATGCACACAGCCACACACGCAAACCAGGTGAAATCAGAGGAGCAAGAGCTCACAGCCACAGAGCTTTCCGGCCAGGCAGCTGCACATGGACCTGGAGGAGGATGAAACACAAGGAGTGGCATGTGTTCGAACTAAGCTAGCAGGGTCTGTGCGCAGCCCTCTGGCTAATGCCTGCACTTGCTCCTCAATCAGGTGTGCATCTGTCCGTATGTGCCCTGGAGTGAACTTGCTCCTTTGGTCTGGTCTGGTCTGATCTTGCACTCCCGTTGTGTGTGCTTCTGCTTCCTTTTCCAACCATGCCTATTAGACCCAGCTGCCAAAGCCTCTGAAACATGGCAGAAATCAAATGTCCATTATATTATTTCGAGCAAGCAGTCAGTCCATTCGTTACTACAAAACTAGCAGCACACAGAAATGTTACCACCTCAGGTATGTTCTTATCACACAGGTAAGAAGAGTTTAAAGAATCCTTCCTTTAAAGGGAAAACATTATTTCCTTGAACCTTGGTTCTGTTTCTGATACCCTCTTTGCGTTTAACTGACCAAATGGAACAATGTGATCAAGCAAACAGGCTAAATTGTTTGTTTGATCACATCTAACAACACTGCTAAATGATGGGCCAATCCTATGTCTATTCTAACGTTAGTCTCATTGTATTCAATGAGGCTAATTCCCTGGTAAGTGAGTTTAGGAGGGTGGCCTTCATAAATAATGCACATGTAATGAATTAGCAAATAATTCACATGTAGACTTGAAATTTCTGCCAGGTTTCCATGGTTAAAACTGGAGGGAATTAGTGACAGACACTTTTGCTTTGAATATTTTTATATTTCCAAGGCAGCTGTATAAAAGATTTGAACTAGAGCTCCCCACTGGCGGTAAAAAAAATGTTGTTGGGTTGTGTAGGCAAAATACAAAAGCTCCCTCCTTCTCTGCATGCCCAGGGCAAACCCCAATGCAAACAAAAAGGGGCAACTTCCCTGTATTTGTTGATAAAAATCAATGCTTAACAACTCTTTGCACGGGCGGCATGCTAATTTTGCATGCAGAAACATTCAGTAGCTGCAGTCCAAAAAAAAGGTGCACCATTTGAGAATGCTGTAAAACTGTCCTTGGTTACACTGGGTGAGTTTAAAGACTTATCTGCTATTTTATTACTGAGTTCAGAGCATACGTGGGACTGCTGGTTTTAACTGTCTAGCTCATGAACGTCACTGATTTCACTCTCCTAATTCTCAGCCCAACCATATGCACATTAAGTCCTGCCGTAGACCAGGATTACAGCCCCAGAGCACAGTCCTATTCTTGTATAATCAGAAGTAAGTTCCATTGAGTTCAGTGGTGCTTAGTCCTATATTAGGTGATTTGCATTCTTAATTACATAGATGGTTTTAGCAGGAGCTGTTTCTCATGTCACACCAGCATGTCCACTCATGGCTTACTCCCACATAAGTGTACATCAAATTAAAGCCTCAAAACACTTCAGTCATGCTGGTTTGACCACATTGTTTGTCTAGATAGCTGCTGAAATAAGTAACTTCATGCCAACTTTCTTATCAGCTACTTCTTTACCACTAGAGGAAACACTTGTTGGTCTCCAAAGTATTTTTAATTAATAACATGAACCTGGAAACATGTGCAGGCTCAGTCTGAGTGAATGACTCTTCTTCTTGGTAACTCACTCCAGTCTGGCATAATCTACCTTTTAGAGTCTGTTGACGTAAAGTGGGGTAATTCTATGTTGGTCATTAATTTTGCTATCTGGCTTGAAATCCAGTTGGTAATGGACTGTTTCTGGACTGTTTCTATGGATAAACGACTATAAAGAGCAACTGGCGAAGATCAGAAACTTGTTTCTCCATCATGTTGGCCAAAACTTTTATTTAATTTAGAGAGGGAAGGAGTGTGGTGAGAAGAAGAAATGGGGTTACAAACAGGCAGCACCAAAGAAGGGTCACAGATACACTGTCATCCTGGTCCCAAAAGCTAGAACTGGCACTGTAGCCCTGCAGCTAAAGAAAGATGCTTGGAACCCCCACAATCACATTTATTGAACAAAAAGCAAGCAATTTGGAATGGCCCTAAAATGGAAAAACCTACTCTCATTTCTTCTGCTTTATGTATCTTGTATTGAACAGTTCAGGAATAATCCTTCTTCATATAGAGGAATCTGCTGAAAGCCTTATGTAGTCAGAATGAGTCTTGTATCTGCACAGGAAGTTATGCTAAGAACATTTATCTCCCTTAGCACTATGTTTCCATAGTCTCTCAAACTTCAGTACTGTCTCTGCTCAATTAAATTTCCTTCACTGAGTTTGTGGTAAGAATTAACCTCAAAATCAGAGGCTCATTAAATATTTCTTTAGGAAATTCAATCAAGTCTTGCATGCAAAGTATGAAGAATTGTTCATACAAAAGATTTTAGGGAGTGACTTTTGCTCTTGTGGATAAAAGTCATGTGTAGGATGTGAAGGACATGGAGGAAAATTCTATGTAGGCAAATGTACTAAAAAGGCAAACATTAAAACAAATAGAAGCCACATGTCTACAAGAAATACCTGCAAGGGGTGAGGAAATGCTGTTTTAATGCTTGTGCATAACTTTTGTTTTCACAAAAGGAATGGGGTTGTTTTGCACACACGCGTGCTCTCTCTCCTGCCAAGAATTCCATAGACTAGTGGCCCTGCGTGTTGACAGATATGGTGCTGACAACCAACCAACCAACCAACCACCCACCCACCCAACCAACCAACCAACCAGCTGTGCCTGCAAAGCATCTCAGAAATGCTCAATCACATGGCCAAATGTTCATTGGGATAAAATGCTCCCTACCCACTGAAATATGGCTGGACCAAAAAGGCAGAGGAACTTCACAACCCTTTCCTAACGATTGTATATGCCGTCCAAAGCCCACCTCAACAGCCATTTGGGAGGTGATTGCAAAAGAAAGAGAAAATGTTTGTAACATGATTCCTTATCTTCATCTAGTCAATTGGCAACACTTTGCCAAAAGATGACTGCAGTGGGTGAAGCATTTTGACACTTAGAAAAAGGCTCTGTGCAGCATGACTCAGCCCTGCCCCATCTTTTGACAAAGGAAATGGAGTAAAATGACACAGGAGCAATTCGGAAAGAAACAAATACCCCCTTAAAACAGCAAACCTTGTGACTGAGAGAACCTAATTGTTGCCTGTCACTCAACTGTTTCAAGGATCTGGACAAGGAGAGGCTTGCTGCCCCAGCCTACAAAGAGGAAACATTTTACTGAAGTGGCAATAGCAGTAGCAGTGGTATCAGATTTCTGCATTTTGTCAGGTCCTTTGCCTAAGGCAGTAGTAATCATCCATCACCTGAATAAGCAGAATTAGGAGTCGGGTGGAAAGAGAAGGCTCCATTGACCAGCAGTTTGTCAAAACAGGCACAAACTGACACTTATTAAGGCAATCAATCATTTAAACGAATATGGCTTTTGCAAAAGGAGAATAGCCCTTGCCTGATATGTCATGAGAAAGGTTCATCTCTCCCCTCACAAAGCCAGTCAGCAGTTGATGGGGCAGAAGGGACCCTTGCCTGTGGCAATTTTCCTTTGCTTCAGCCTCAAAAGCAACACTGAAAAATGATCTGTACATGGACCCACATACTTACAAGTTTTAATAAGCCTCTTTGGGTTTTGACAAGCAAAGAAAGAAGTTGCAAGTGCCCTCTTTTGCATGGTTGCTGTGGAAACCATTTAGACCCTGACAAGCATGAAATGTTAAGCAGTGGCTTTCAGCACAAAGGTCTCCGAAATCAGGGCTCTCTCCCCAAGAAGGATGCTTCAAGGTGGTTAAATCATTACTATGTCTGGTGAAACCTTAAGGAATTGTTTGGGTAGATTTATTTTGCACATGCGCACACACACACACATTTATAGATGGAGAAAGAGTAAAGTTTGGGAGTAAGTCTGGCCCGGATGAAATGAGGCATGCCTGCTGTAGGAAAGTTCAGCTCACAGTCAAGGTGCCATTACTCAGGCTCTCTGATCAGAAAAGTGGAAGAGCCATTCAAGTGGATAAGGTGATGTTTGAAACTCAATGTGCAATTAGCAATAGCAGCCCTTCAACGTGGAGTCACTTCCTAACGAAAGGTTGCATGCAGAAATAAAATGTATAAAACCACTGCAGCTGCTAATATACTGACATCTGCCCTAAAAACTGTGTAGGAACAGAACCCCCCTGAGCTCATCATATGAAGCCAGTGGCAGCGTTACTGTTCATGAGGAAAATTCATGCATCATTCTCGTTACCATGGATCAGTGGGTGAAAGTTTCCAGGAGCACTGCTAACCTGCAATAGTGTAAGATGCCATAGATTCTTTATAGAATAGAAAGCATTAAAAGTCTTTCCCTTGAATCACAAAGATACTTTCCTGGTGACATTCTAATTCTTTCAGATTCAACTTTGTGCCATGAAGGTTATTTATTTATCATTTTATACTCCCACCTTTCAGCAAAAAGCAGCTTCTAAACAAAAATAATAAAATCACCAAATCGCAACAACAGCTACTAGCAGCTCATGCAAGTCATTTCTTTCTTGTAAACAATCTGGAAAGAATTCCCTAAAAAGCCTTTCTTGGTCAACTCCTGGAGCTCAACAAACAATGATTTTGGCACCATCCTGGCTTGCTCATTCCACAGCAGGGGCCAAGAGCCAAGAATGTGATTCTCTGTACCTTTTGGCCCCAGGCTCCTTCAAAATGCAAGGAGATATACCTCAGCAGGTCTCCTTAAAATAAACTGGTCCTATACCAAGTCAGGTTTTAAAAGGTTAGGGTTTAGACTCTGAACTGAGCCCTGGAAATTAACTGGAAGTCAGTATAGTCCTGGAAAAATGGTTGCATTCTCTGTGGCTGGAGCTAATTAATATTGTGGCAACCATACTCTGAAGCAAATGAGCAAGGTTATTTTTTTACATAATTTATTTTTATGTACAATTATTTTAATTACATAATTTGTATCACACTCACATCCTATAAGCACATCAAAGTTGCTTAGACTTAGCCATAAAAAGGGTTGAGGCAAAGATACTTTAGGAACCAGCCTGCCCAGAGAAGATCTGACAACCATTCCCTATGTCCCAGTTAAAGCATGGTTGGTGAGGGAAGAAGAAAGGGCCTTCTTCATAATCATGTATAAATGGTGGAATTCTCTGCTCATGGAGCTCAGCTGGCAGCCTTTTCAATGGTGTTTCATTGCATGGCTGAAATCTTCTTGTTTAGGTAGGCATATGCTATATCTCATGGGCAAGTTTAATCTGATGGCTTTGTTTTATCTACTGTGGCTGTCACCATTATATTGTTGTTGCTTTCAAATTTACTATTATTTTATGAATATTCTAATTGTTGTTATATCCATGCAATGGTATGCAAACAGCAGTGGGTGGAGTCTTCTGAAATAAAGAAATTAAAAACATTACTAAGGGATAAGCTTTTCAGTCAGTCCTGCTAAAATCTGAATAGAGCTCTTCTCTTTCACACCTCACACCAACTGCAGCAGTTGCCAGCTAACCTTCTTATGCACTTCTGAGCAATATGGTTTTGGTCACAGAATAGAGAGTGCGAAGGGGCTGATAAAACCATCAAGCAACTCCCTGCTCAATGCAGGACTCCAAGTTAAAGCATCGCCTAGCTGATGGCTGCCCAGCTGCATCCTGAATGCCTCCACGGTGGGAGCGCCCTTGGTCCCTTTGTTGTGTTGCTTCAGTGCTCAGTCAGAATGTGACTTCCTATAACTTGAGCCCATTATTCCATGTCCTTCACTCTAGAATGACCCACAAGAGGTCCTGGCCCTCCTCTGTGTGGCAACCTTTCAAGCACTTAAAGAGTGTCATCGTATCTCCCCTTGTCAAAGCAGAACATGCCCAGTCTCTTCTAGTCTTTCTCTCATAGGACATAATTCTGTAACATGTACCTTAAAATTTTTCTGAGACTCTGGTGTTGGGCTGTCTAGATCTATCAGCTTCTTCAGTTCTTCCTCAATATTTGACTTAGATGCACACTTTGGTGAGGCTCGAAGGTCCCTGGCTGATGCACGCAACCTAGGATGTGCCATTTCATTACCATCACTCTGGTGACGCCTGTAAAGCAAAGAGGTCAAAAGTTTAGAAATCACAGGCCATGGACAGGACCACTCCAACACCTCTAGCTATCTGGAGAAAAGGCTTAGCTCAACAGTGGACACTTGCATTGGGTGGTAGTGGGAGACTTGAGAATTCAATCTTATATAACAAATCCATAGAAGGCATACCTGTTTAAAGGAACAGACCTGTTAGGAATATTTCCCTTTCTCTGTATCAGTAATAAGCTTATCATAATAACTGAAACCTGAACCACATCATCACCATCCAGGCTACTGAACGATTTTTAACCCTAGGAATGTTCCTATGGATGTTCCTGTTTTCCCACTGCCAGGATGCGATGCATGACATCAGCAAGCACTTCTAGTAGCTTTGCTTCCAGCTGCTTCATTTTTCTTGTCTTGCACTATTTATTTATTTATTAAAACATTTCTATGCCGCCCCATTCGCCAAAGCCTCGGGGCGGCTCACAACATAAAATAAAATACAAAAATAACAATATAAAAATAACAATATAAAATAAATAACAATATAAAAGAAGTCACCCTGGTCTTGCCTTGCTCTTGCCTGTCCCTACAACCCAGTCATCATTCTGGACCTCTGCTTTCTTGAAGACACAGCCTTGACATAGTAGCTGCATTACACCCCTTTTTTGGCAAATCTGCACCCCAGTTTGCCCCCGTTTCTCTTGCTATTTCTTTAAGGCTTGCTCTGTGACTACCTTTTTGCCTCAATGTCATTTCATGTAGATAAGTGCCCATCCTAGCTTTTTGGCAATGATCCTAGCCTTAAATATCAGTATGCCATCCCTCACCTAAGACTGACTATCTACAATAAGTAAAAGATTAATCAGTAAATCCTTTTCAAATAATGGTATGAAAATAGCTGCCCTGAACATCTCTGGAAGCCCTTATTTGCAAAATAATGAAGTTGTAATCTATTTTGCCCGGCTGTCCCCTGGCACTCAGTTGAAGGGTTAATGGCACTGTGGAGAAAGTTATTCTTTTAGAGGTGCATACAATTGCATGCAGCAGTTCTAGTAAGTAGCGTGCCTAGCAACTTGCAGACTTTCTCCCTGGAGCTCTCATTAGTCTTGCAATTTGGAGAAGATGAGGACTAGCACAACTCTTTACAACAATTCCTTATCTTCTTTAAAACTTAGCCTAAACAGAACAAGAACAGGCTGTTCCCCATGCTCTCTGCACAGGGACAGGGTGATTAGTGGCAACCCCCAGCTCATGGCTGACTAGTAAATCAAGTCAACACGTTTCAATTCCTAAGGAACAATTTCTTAAAGTTCATGTAGCTTCATTTTTGTCTCTATTACAAAAAGTCAGTTCTTCTAAACAAAGCTATTCCTAAAATCTTATCTTTTGAAGCTTGTGCTATACATTTAAAAACTGTTATGGGGAAAAAACCCTCAAACGCCACCAGTCAGAGCTTTAAATATTTTTTGTTGATTCAATAGTCTTGATACAGAGAAAAATAAGTGAAGACAGGTAACAAAACTTAATTCATTCAATTAATCATTTTAAACATTTTAATTTAGTAGACAACAGCAATCCTTAACACACTTTAGTAGACAACATCAATTCCTACATATTTCTTGAGGTTTTTTGCTCTATAAGGCCTTTAATGGGCTTAAATAACCAATTCACTTAAACTCCTGAAGAGTTTTCCATCAAAGAAATGCCTACTATGGATTTGAGAGGTATGCTGAAAAACAACACCCACCAAAACAGAATAAAAAAGTTCTTACTTTCTTGAATCCATAAACCCCACTGAGTTTATTGTGCCTTCAGGTTTTTTCCATCCAATCAGGTACTTGCTAGTGGCACCCTGACGTGGGTAGAAAGTCCGAGGGCCAGAGGAGGAGGAAGAGGAAGAGAAAGAAGGTGCCAGCTGTGGGGAAGTGGCTGAATGAAGCTCCTCTTTAGGTGAACTTCTGGCACTGGTGAAGACAACAGGGCTGGTAGAGTGTCGGGACCCCATGGTACTGGGAGAGAAGCATAGCAAAGACTTAAAATATACATGCTTACATTGAGTGCAATTCATTTCAAAGCTACATTTGTCATGCAGAACCCACATCATGATTGAGTGCAATTTAACCTAAGGAGCTGTTTTTACAACTGCAAATAAAAGTGTTCATCAAATTAAAAGAGAGATAGAGAAAAATTAACTAACTTTAGATATCAGCAGAATCATTCGCCCTAATTCATGCTTAGCAGCTACCTTAATAAGAGTGAGAAATTACTGTGCAGACTAATTTATACATTGTTTGCACTCACATCAAAGCTCCTGCAGCAACACTATGACTGAGAAGGATTTGATGTGCATTCATCTGTAAGATTAACTCAATATACTGGGTCCTTTCCAAATTCTTGTAGCACCATTTACCATTTAAGAAGCCAGGCCCTTTAGATGCAACATATTTGCATATGGAAGTGACTTGAGGAAGTACTTCTTGAGTGAAAATTGTAACTTGGCAAACTGCCCTAAGAAATTACTCATTGGGATTTTTATTGTGCTGTTGTCCTGGATGCCCAGCTTTCTGTGGATAGTTACTCCAAGTCCAGACAAGACAAGTCCAGGCCAGCAACAGAAAAACACCCACAGAATATTCCTATCCAAGCTCTGCAGCAGCCACCAGAGGTTTTGAATGCCCCCTGCATGTGAAGATTCAGGAGGGAGCAACTCAACAGCAGGCCTTTTTGGGAGCAGACCCTGTGTTCCAGTACAGGTTCTGCAGAAAGGTCCATCTGAGACCTTTGTCTTTTAAGCACCAAACAATCCCCTTTTCAGACCTTTTGATCCTTTCTCACTCTCTAATATTATAGAAACGTAGAAACAAAGCAAGTCAGAAGGGGTCTGCAGGGCCATCTAGTCTGATCCCCAGCTCCAGCCGGCTCTGCTCATATAATCCCCAACATTATGGTGTGCTTTAAATAGCTGTTGTTGTTAAACTTCTGCTTTTCTTTTTTCTTGTTTCTAATCTCTGCTGCCTTTAATTGACCATCTATCGTGTGGTTTCTGGTTTTTTAACATAAATTTGGGAATTTATCTTTGTTTTCATGTTATGCTGCCTTGTGTGAGATTTTAGTTACTGGACAACCAATTCACTCTACAAATTATTAATACATAAATAAATAACTAGTCAGGGCTAGAATTAAGAAGGCAAAGACCAACATTTCTTACCCATCATAACCCATCAGGGTTGTAATGGCAGGATGATATTCACGGTTTATTAATTACTTTTATATAGTAGTTCCACTTTAATTTCACATCTCTTTAATATCTCAGTTCTGTAAGTGGGTTCATCCAATCCGTATATTGCTGCCCGGGTGTGCTTCACTTAAATGCTATTTGTAGTAATGCTTCAAATGTTTATTATGTACTCCTATACACATCTGTTCAGTGGAAATTACTCTAGGTAGTGATGCATGGCAGGGATGAGGAAAGTTCACTCTGCACTCCTAATCTCGTCCACAGCAGTTCCTCATATTGCCTGCTTGGATTCTGCAATTCACGCACAATGTACTGATGGCATAAATTCAGCAATACAATCATTGTTGGAGGAAGCAATCCTATGCTCCCCAGACAGTATCTAAGGGACCACAGAATAGATCAGACTCTCAGCTCTGATGTTACAGAGAGCCCTCTTCTTGGAGCTGGACAGTGGGGTTTCTACCCCTTCTCCCCTAGCTGCTAGTATGGAAAGAACCACACTGGGTAATCTCTGAGGTTAGGGTAGCTGCCTTTGAGGGAAGGAAAGTGTGTGTTTTGGTGGGCAGGAAGAAAACTGAGGAGGCCAAGTGTCCTAAAGGTGATCCAGCAAGCCTCTTACTGTGGAAACTTATGAGCATCACAGTAGCACTGCCATGTAGCTGCCACTGAAATCCAAACAGGTGGTTTATCATCAGGAGTGAAGAGCTGTTCTTCAAACAGCTGTTATTCTGGCTATAATCAGTTATGACAGTGGTTCTAGCTAACTTATAGGCAAGAGTTTTTCATTTCAGATATTTTTTAAAAAATACTGGTCATCACAAATGGAGTCTATTAAGCTCCCAAAATGCAATGGAAGAGAATATGTAACTGGCATATTCCTATGAATTGTGCAAAATTAAAAAGCACTGAACACTGCATCACTGTGCAAATCTTCAAGTCAGCTTCGCAAGACAATAAAGTTGACAGATATAGATACAGATATAAATAGATATAGAAGTCAAGCATACATAATAAGAAGTACTCTGTATGAATGGCAGGTCTGTACAAGCAGTTCTAATATCCATAAATAAATGACAAGCTAATTCACTTGTAGAGGTATTTAATTATGTTTTGGGGAAAAAGTCAATATATTAAAGGATTGGCTATTCACGTTGTTAAGCATCTGACACATGGTGATGCATTTATCCTGGGAAGAGACAGCTTTCTAACAGAACATGCCAGTCTAAGCATTTAACTGGTTGGAACATCTTACAACATCAGTACAAGTTCTTCTAATAGATCATATTCCTTTCCAAACAAAGTATTATAAGAGGCAGGGGTCAACATTAATCTAGCACAACAGGGATGGGGGAACTGTGCCCCTCTAGATGTTGCTAGGCAGCAGCCCCCACCTCCCTCACCACTGACCCACATTCCAACATTCCCCAGCCCCAATCTAGCAGGAGTCATTGTAAAATCAACATGTACTAAGGTTATGGGATCATACTCATGGCCCCTGCCTTTTGCTAAGCTCTGTACATTGATTATAGAGATACATGCATGCACAGACTCCATCTAACCTCCAAGAATGTGCCAGGTTGTTAAGTCTATATGGGTGGACTATGGCAATCTCACAGCCTACAGATCCACCAATACCACTGCATCTTCTAAGAAAACAAGTCAGTGATATCTGTATGGGTGGAAGGGCCTGCTTTGACAGAATAATCTGGAGGAATGCGGCTCAAGCTAGATTATGCTGATGGCACTGTCTGCTGCTATTATAACAGACACAGCCTAGAAACCCTGATAAGAAACGCATTTCCTGGAAAGCTATCCAGAGAGATGATGGATCGCATGGCATAGACTCAGTCCTCATTGCTCCCCTATACCCCTCAGATGAACCTGCAAGAGTTATGGGAAATGTGGGTAGGCCGGATCTCTGCCATCCAGTGAACAAGGGGCCTGGATTCCTCCTTCAGTTCTAAACTATTCAAGGAAAAAAATGTGCATCCACAAAGTTAATTCAGAATAACTTAGAATCAGACACTAAAGAAGGGGCTCATTCATTATTATGACATACAGTAAACGAAAGTACTCATTGCTCAGTACTGATGTCCTGCTAACAACAACATGCAACAGTCCAATTTCCTGCACCTCTACTTTCTGCAACTGTGATCAGTCTTTGCCACAACAAAACCTTTTCCACAACAGCTGCTTCAATAAATGGTAGGGAAATACAGATTCTTAAAAATAGAAAATGCTTGCAAAGTGCAGGAAATACAGAAGCTGCCATTTAACTGTGTGCCTGAAATCTTGAATGATAATATATACTGCCTTTCAGTGCCTCTCCCTTTGCATATTTTGTTGTATTACAGCCTGGACCTGAAACACAATGGACTCTGTTACCACTTGATTTACACAAAATAGTCAACAAAGGGCAAGGACGGAGATTGCTGTGAGTGCACGTGACACCAAGGTGCCATTCACGGAAACCAACTTCTCTACCTGTCGCTGCTGCTACCAGTGGTGGCAGCAGATGTGTGGGACTCAAATCCTGGGACTGCACTTGCAAGCACTGGAAGTGCTCGCCAGCAACTCTGATTCTGGGCCACTGCAAGGTGGACCGAAGTCCAGGCAGCAGAGCCCAGGGAATCCAACAGATTGCCACCTCCAAACAGATTCCTTGCACATCTGTAGTGGGGACTGTGGATCCCCACTACAGATGTGCCACAGACAGCCACTTTCAAGTCTTGTCAGAGCTCTTCAGTTGGACTGAGGTCTGACTTTTGATTGGGACAGGTTCTTGTTTTTAAACTATTCCAGTATTACTTTGGCTGTATATTTTGGGTCACTGCTCTGCTGTCTATAAAGGGTCAGTAGGTTTCCACCCCAGTTCTAGGTCCCTTGCAGGCTTAAGCAGGTTTTCCTTTAGAATTACTGTGCACTTGACTCCAATTATCTTGTCTTCTGCTGAGCAAAAGAGAAGTCATGCCCAATGACTTTCATGAACAGTGTTGTTCTGAAGTTCAGATTTAACTGAAAAATTAGGAGCAATTTACAAAAGAATACAATGCTATTACAAAATAGTAGTATTTTGGCTATAGTCATTCAAAAGGAACCAGAAAAGTAAACATCTGTTTAACTCAAATACTCTATTGACAGAAATACCACTATTTGAAAATACAGCAAAAAAAAAAACTATTGTAAAAAGCTACTACGGAAGCAAGCTATGGTCATATGTTGAATCCAAAGGCTTTTGAGTTAGAACAAGTTACTGCCAATTTCTTAAAGTGGAATTACCGAATGTTATACAGTAATACAGGCACATGCATTTGCATGAATGTTTCAGAACCAGTTTAAACCCAATGTTACATCACAAAGCCCATTTTTAGTACCCATAAATGCAATCCTTTTGTTTTGCTCATGCGATATGTTTAGTCCTGAGCATGGGCTAAAATGTTTTTCTGAACAAACCAAAAGCAGCTAAAACAGCTAAAATCCAGATTCCAAAATCCACCTCCATAATTTCCATGGGACAAACAAGAATCATCATGGACATCTCTTTACAAAAACAATAATGTACACAGACACAGCACTACACTTGTAACAGAAGCTATGAAAGAAGATGTCTAAAAAGGCCAGACCATTCCAGGTTTACAAACAAAGGTGGGGGGGTGAATCATTATGACATGCAGCTAACTACCGTGGATAGCAGCTGTGTAGTCAAGCCCGAAGTCCTTGTAGTAAAATTCAAATTCAGTTTAAAAACCACTCAAGTATTCTGACAATTTCATTCATCTAGCCCAAACACAGGCTGCGATGCAACAACTCTCCACAGTACTAACCAGGGCAGTGTGTGTGTGTGTGTGTTGGGGAGGGGGTGGGGAGTAGCAAGGACAGAAACCGGGGCTTGGGGAATAAAGGGAACAGGCTACCCTGTGACTTGCTCCCAATCCCTTAGGCTACTTGTACGGTTAAAAGATCGTGTTCATACTTGTCTTACACATGATGCTGGGTGTGCCCTGCAACTTACTGACATTGTTGTCACACTCTGGTCCAGATACTCATGTGTTCTTAGAGCTCTTGCAGTAGAAGGAACAGGTCCTATCCACAAAAAAGATCAAACTTCTTTTTCCAGTTTTGAACTCCCTGTAAAACATCTTTTTTCAAGATGCTGGGCTGCCAATAAATATGGGTGTGTATTTTCCATAACACCCACTCTTCAGATCTGCTAGAATCTTCAAGGAAGACACATAAAGAATAATTTTAAAGGAATTTACCTTGCATGGGAAATAGTGTCACTAAGGCTAAAAGCACTGTTCTCTCTCGTTAGAGGGTTGGAGGCTGGTTGATTTTTACTATGAATGTCCAAGCTCAGTGAAGATTCTGTCTTTCTGTCCATGATGTGGCCCTCTTTTTCTAACGTCCGGTCTACAATGGAGACCACTTCACTGGAACTGTGCCATAGCGGTGGTACTTTCTCCTTTACTAGTCCTGATCGAGGAGATGTTGCTGAGTTGCCCAGGGATGCTGTGCTGCCATGGCTGGGACCATAGGAGGTGGTATCAATGCCGCTGTCAGCAGAAGTGCCTTGAAGGTAGTTGTAGCTATTCAGTTCTGACTCTGTCCTGTCTCCGCTGTCGTACCATTTCTCCTCACTGTGGACACTGGAAGCATTGCTGGACAGTGTGTTACTGCTTGAATGGCTGGAGTAGTGGCTATCAGACTACCAAGAATGAAGAAGAAAAGACTATGAATAAAATATAACAGGAGCAGCTACATATTAACAATAAGCAAAAGTGAATTCACTTCACCATTTATACAATTGACTAAGACAGGATACACACAGACTCGGTTCAAAGCTTATGACACAAACTTAATTCATGAGACTAATTTCATGGACCACGTTATACATGATACTAATTTCCACCCTAATCTTCATCAATCAATTTTTAAATGCAGGTTAAGCTACTATACATTGGTCATCCAAATATACTTCTGTAAATATGTAGAGTATGGCAGGAGCATGAAATGGGTCCACAGCTAAATACAATGAAATGCAAGGATATGAAGTACGGATGCAGACATTTCAGATGTCTGGAGAACACACACATTTCCTATATTTCATGAGTGTTTGTATAATGTGAAGTAAACTTTTGTTCCTTTCCTCATGGTATGATGCACAAAATCAGAGCTAAAAGATCTGCTCTGGATGCTACAAATTAATATAGAGGACAGAAAAAACTAATTCTACTTCCTATCTCCCTGTACCTTGAAACTATACTAACTCTAAAGCAAGCTTTTCTTCCATTCAATAGGGGAATTCTTCCACATAGGAGAGCTACTGGGCTCCTGTCTAATGCCTGTCAGTTGGCTTGCAACAGCAAACTATATCCTAGTCAGCACCGTAAGAATGGTAGTTGCATACCAGTGAAAGCAAAGTAGTTAACCTGACAGTAACGTAGTATATAAGAATCTGTACAAAGGAACATTTATGAAACATGCAATGCATACAATATTTAAGTATGTAATATATACCAAAGAACAGCTATGTAAAAATATGATAGGTAGTATTAAAAGGAAAAAGTATAGCATTATAAGGAAAAAGCAAAGATTTCCTGCATTTGGAGGTATTTCCACTTCTTAGGCTAGCTCCTTCTCCTTCTGGCATCTGGCAGTACCCCCTTATCTGTACGTTGTTAGTAGGATCACTTCTCTGCACTTTCTAGAATGTGGCCTAGCTTGTCAATTCTACACAGACACCATAAAGGGTTAGGACTTAGCCTATATAACCAGAAATATTCAAAAGAAGAATTTAATTGCCAAGGAAGGGGGGATGATAACCAATGGCCAGACTATAAATAGAGATCTGAAGGTGCAAGTGAGAACTAATTACATCAGACTGTTCAACTTTACTCTGTAAAAAAGTGTTAGTGTATCATGAAAATCTTGCATGTGGCGTCCAGAACTAACAAAAGGGATTTCAACAGGAAACTTATTTCTGGTATAATCAATGACCCCACAAATCCTTAGCCTATCACACTCTACCTGGGAAAAAAGTCCTGCCTCTGAGTTGGCAGAAAAATGTTTCTATTAATAAAATGCTATGCTAAAGTTACATTTAGCCTGAAAATTCTGAGGTCAGTTCTGCAGCCACCTCCTCCATAAGCTAACAAGGAGGAATAGTTTGGGGAAAGGAGAGGCTTTTAAAGGAGATCTTACCTTTGAAGAACTGCTGAAAGAGCAAAGCACTGTAAGTAACAATCTTGAAAGTGAACTTACGTGGCCCTGCTTATTTGGAGACAAGTGAACTACCGGATCCTGCCTCATCAGTCTTCCAGTGGGACTCTCTCTGAAGGATGGCAGCACCTTTGACACAGCAGGGAGGTGGCACGTCGGCTCTGCAATACAGCATGCAACACAGCATCTTCCATTAAGGGAGCTCACGTTATTTTACTGTTTGGTTAAAAAAAGGTTGAGAAACTGCTGAAAGTCTGCCAAGATCCAAGAGCAGAATAAAATGTCCTTCGCTAATGCTGATGACCTGATTCTACTTGTTTAATGTTGAAGCACCCTAATTATTTTTAACTATGTAGAGTTGCACCTAACTGCTGTCCTTGCACTGACAGAAGGTCCTTTGATCCAGTGGAGACTTCCATTAGTAGTATGGGAAGGGAAAGGATTTTAGGCAATTCCCCCCTGCCCACCCATATGACCTCCCATGCTACTCCCCCCCCCCACCAAGATTTTGTGGGAGGAAGAAAGGGAATTGCCCAAAAACGGTTTCCCTATCCCTTTTAACTGACAGAACTCTTTGCTGGATAAAAGAGCGTTCCATCCACATCAGGACACCCCTGAATAAAATCCATCATAAGAACTGACAATGTAAGCATGTGTGCATATGTATAATACTTTTATCTGCCTTAAAAGCAGGAAACTACACAAAGAGAGACTGACAAGTAGCATTGTACTCAGCTCTCTTCACACCATACCCCAACGTTTTCTCCACTTTTTCCATTTTCTCCAACTTAATGGGGCCATTTTATTTTCCACAGCAGAATGATTCGGCAGCTATATTAAGTGCCAACATCAACACACAACAGAGATCTGCAAAAGTAATTCTGAAAAGGATTAACTTTACACATGTTGTTACCATCTCAACTGTATAAAAGCACATGTGATTAAAGTATTCTGCCAAAATGGTAACTAGAGATGAGTATAATCACAGGTTTTTCCTGTTAAGCAGATATGGGGGATGGGGACTAACCAGATGGCTTTAATAATAATACACAGCTCACTGAGCCTCTGAAATTACTAGAACAAAAGTTTATCTTTTGAATCTGAGAATCATATTTCATTTCCCAAACTCCAGAGGCATTCACTATATACTTCAATCTGTCTCAAAGCCTACCTTACTGACACAATAGGAGTCTACTGTGAGCACCTTCATTTTTTGGCTATGTCTTAGCCAAAATAAGTCTTTATATTTGGCTAAACCAGGAGAATGGTTGTCCCCATCCTGTACCCATCCAATCCACATCAGGACACCACTTTCAAGCTAGCCCCATAGAGAAGCATCATAGATAGCCAATGTGTAATAGTGGTTAGTGTACTGAGCTGAGACCTGGAAGATGTGTGTTCTATCTCCACTTGGTTGTGAAGTTCACTGGGTGACTTTGGGCCAGCCTTGTATTTTCAGCATGACTACCTCACAGAGTTGTTGTGAAAATAAAATAGAAAAGGACTAAGTAAGCCACCTTAAAATGCTTGAAAGAGGAAAAAGGTGAAATGTACTAAAAATAACAACAATCAGAGTGGATAAAAATCAAGGATTTTTTTTAAAAAAATGATTTTAAATTTAAATTGGATTTTTAAATACAATGCTTTTTGAGGAAGACTATACCTAAAGATAGTTTTCTGTTTAAGAAAACTTCGGATTATAGTCCAAAGGTTATTCATCATTAAATAAGGATTAATTTTTAATTCTGTACCATGGGGCTGTACATTCATGCAATGTTTACATTTTTTGGTAAATGAATTCCACTAAACCATTCACAACGTCATGCTTTTTCAGAGGTTTCTATAAGATTATTGGGCAATTTTTCAATCTAGAAGATATTATCACTCATGCTTGGTTTTACAGTTCTCAAAACTGTGAATTTGTGTCTGTGGAAACTGCATGCCTCTTTTTCACAGCAAAAATATTATAAAAAACATACAGAGTTGAGAAAGAGACCTTAATTCCATTGTTGCTTTCCAAATCTATGTACACAGAAGCAACCCCTTGCTTCTTAAGTGCTAAGTTTTTAAAAATTCAGTGCATAGAAGAAAATTGTTGGGAGTGGAATAGATCTGCTCAAGAAGCTAAGTGTGAGGAGGGAGGGACAAGCAGTAAAAATGAAAGAAAAAACTTTTCAGCACAATACTCAAAAAGTCTTTGGATCTCTTTGTGTATAGCCTGCGGTTTATCATCTTGATCTTTCCCTGGAGGAGAAAATCTATAATGGCAGTTTGGGAATATTTTAATGAAGTTCCTCTACCTTTGGGTAAGGTAAGCATGCATGCAAATTATGTAGAAAACTATGATTTAAACCTAATCTTACTGAGTAGTGATTTAAATCATGATTTAACTTGATTGGATTTAAGTCAAATCTACCCTGATAATAGTGGAATAACTTTTATTCAGGTTATTTGGTCTTCCAAGTAATTAGACAACCCTGTAGAACCTAAATGTGATCTGTTCCAACTCCTGGTTTGGAAACCCGGCTGCTTTTATCTCAGAATTCCCTTTGTGTTACTACAGGTATATCTTCAGCAACTATTCTTCTTTGTGTCTGCTCCCACAGCACTGTAGAGGTTGTTACATAAGCAGTGACCTGAAACCTGACAATGCAACAGACCTTCAAAACTGAACAGATACTGACCTAGATGCAGCATGCTGGGTAGACGGCCTGCCAGGAAGCCATTCTCTTAACTCTGGCATCCTAGACTAAAGCCAGCTGCACTGCATGCGCGGTACCACTGAGATGAAACCATGCCTAAAATCCCTATCAATGTCCACCAATGGATCATGGCTTCAATGCACAGAAGCCACAAAGGAAGAGGGGAGGTCTATGCATTGAAGCTCCAAATCAAGGTTTAACAATATCAATCCACTGGATGCTGAGAATGTGCATTGTAAAGGGTGGTTTTTTCAGTTAATAACCTAATGACAAAGTACAACAGAAAACATATGCACCAGTGGAAAATAAATTTCCATCCAACTACATATTCATTGCACTTATATTTTATTTGTACATTAAAAATCTGTACATTAAAAAACACACTGAACTATTTGAAAGGGAGCATCACAAAGCGAACTAAAGATAAAGTGAAAATTAAGTTAAAACTAATGCAGTACTGGAAGGAGAGGAGGACAAGCAAACAGCAAAGCCAACTAATGGGTGTCCCTAAACAATCACTTCTCAAAAAGGTGCTCCAGGGACTGGCCTATTATATCATATCTATTCTCCAGAGAACATTATTTCTACAGATTGTATTTACAGGTCTCAAGGACACAAACTGCAGAGTACAATATACCCAATCTGTAGTATTCATTCCGATTAACAAAAGGCAACATCCAACAACAAAGACTTGCTTTGTATAAGAAGCTATACTCACTGTGGAGGACTGAGTTGCCAAAGACACCTTGTGTTGAACACTATTTAATTTCTGCAGAAAATGATTACTTACCCATCTGGTCAACAATGCTATCCTCACTTCTCTGCCAACTGGGCGTGGATTTACCACTACCACTAGTATCCGTATTCTGTCTGTCAATGGAAGCAGGGGATCTTCGAGTCATTCCAAACCTGTGTAAAAGAATTCCACTATTCTTAATTTCTGTATAACAGGGCTATATGCCCTCCCCGTGTGCTCTTGCCCCTGCATGCTAGAAACTGGGAGTACCATTAGATAGACAGACAGACAGACAGACAGACAGACAGACAGATGGTGCTTCTTCCTGTGGAGACTCAAAAGTGCCACATCTACCTTGCTTTTGAGCTAAACATGGGCTGAGGTTCTGTTGTGGTTTGCTAACTGTGACAAATGAGCAGTTTTTCTGTAGCAGGAGTGTACACCCCAAGTGAGACCAGAGGTTGGAAATGGGACCCTGGACTGGCTGATATTGCCCAACCCTGCTGTACATGGAAACTGCTATTCAAACCAAACATTTCTTTACATGAAGAAGCTGCATGCAATGCATGTCCTTTACAAAAGGCAAAGCAAGAAACCAGAAAACATTTTTTTTTTAAATTGTGGCAGTCGCTCTTCTTTTTTAGGATTATAATTCAACTGAAACATTTGTAACATGAAGACTATTCTATCACCTGATAAATATAGACAATATTCATGATTATACTAGTAACCAACTCTGCATGAAACATGATCCAGTGCTCATTTTTCCTCAGATAAGACAGACCATTAAAGATGGACTTGACCCTTAGGAACAAACATTCCTTCCACTTCTACTAGCACTCCCTCTAAAGGACAGTGTCCGCAGCTTGGGGGTACTTCTTGACCCAGAACTGTCACTGGAGTTCCAGGTGGCGGCGGTGGCAAGGAGTGCTTTCCTACAACTTCGACTGATCCATCAGCTGTGTCCTTACCTGGATGAGCACTCCCTAGCAACAGTGACACATGCTCTGGTAACTTCCCGCTTGGATTACTGTGACATGCTCTATGTGGGGCTGCCCTTGAAAACAGTCCAGATACTTCAGCTGGTACAGAACAGAGCTGACAGGCTGCTGACAGGGACCGGCCGTTACTCTCACATAACGCCGGTCCTCTATCAGCTCCACTGACTCTCAGTGGCCCAAGTCCAGGCCCAATTCAAGGTGCTGGTTTTAACCTATAAAGCCCTGAACGGCTTGGGACCAGGATACCTGAAGGAGTACCTCTTCCCTTACATGCCCTCATGCCCCTTAAGATCTGCGGGAGAGGCTTTGCTCCGGGAGCCCTCTTTAAAGGAGATAAAAAGAACAACTACCTGGAGCAGGGCCTTCTCTGTGGTGGCACCCAGGTTATGGAATGTGCTCCCTGGAGAGGTGCGCCTGGTGCCGAGTCTATATTCTTTTCGGCACCAGGTTAAAACCTTTTTATTTAATGGCTATTTTAAAAATTAATTTTATTGTTAAGTTGCTTTTTTGTTTTTGTTTTTATATAATTTTACTGTACTTGTTAGTGTTTTATTGTTTTAGTTCTACGTTATAAGCTGTCCCAAGATGCCAAGGCATGTGGTGATGGCATATTTTATTTATAAAAATAAATAACTCAAAAGGACCCCAGAGCCAATACCAACAACAGAAGAAGGATCTTCAATCATATTTTAAGACCTCTGAGCAAAACAAGGCCAAGGTAATACCAAGACACCTCCTCATAAATTAACTGAAAGTCTGGTTGGTAGATCCAACAAACATGAAAATGCTAGCTACATGGATCTGTATCCCTCCTTAGCAAGCTCTTCTATTGCTGGGAAATCAGTTATTTACATAAGAGTGGTGAGCTGCACTAACTACTGCCACAGGAGGAAAATGGCATGTATAAATATCCTATCCTGCCTGGTAACTTGACTTTTTGGGGGCTTGGGAAGAAGTACTATATAAGGTAGCTCAATCTCTCATCTGGGTGGAAGTGGGGAAGCATGAGTCCAAGGTTCAACCTTCTAAAATATATCCAACAATAATAAAAAGACTCAGACAAACATGATTTTAGAAGTAAAATAGCCCTATCAAATATAATGAGTAATAAAAGATGGCTCACTCACTTTTTGTTAATTTCAAACAGCTTTTGTGGCACACATTTGATCATCAGCAGCCTCAATTACTGAAACACTTTGACTCACACAATCACTGAACTAAGTTATGCCAGAGTGGGCTGTGCGGTGCCCTGCCATTCAATGATATTCAACTTCTGGCAGAGGTTTGCTATAGTTTGTCATGTCATCCAAAGTAAGGTGGTAGGATTTTAACCCTCAAATAACCCTATAACAGATTATGGGTTATTTGAGGTTTATTTAACACTCAAACAAACCCTGCCGCCCAGTTCAGATGCATGAGAAATTATGGCAACTCCCCACCAAGCACTGAACATTCAAAATATAAATAAGTCACAGTGGGGTACTCTGGTGTTTGTGTGAACCCACCCTTTTGCTGTTCATGCTTCACTGTTCTCCTCTCTGCCTTAACTATTACTTAGATTGCCACTTGTATGAAAAAAATGCATTCTCGTTTCCTACATACTAACGATTTTAAAATGGGCACATTTAGTAACCAGCAGATTCCAATCACTTAAACCATTCAGAACTGTTGGCTGCAATCAAGTTTATCATTCATAGCAACAATTATATAATCCCCAGTGGAACACTACTTCAGCACTGATTATTAGCCATGGTTAGAGACAGGATGAGGCTAAGTTGACAGAAACTGAATGAAGAGAAAACTGATAATGTAGTTTGCTCTATCTGGTAATGAATGATAGAAATTGTCATTATTGTTGATATCCCCAGGTTAGTTTGCAGGCTCAGAGCTGTGCTGGATCAGATTCAAAGTGTAGCTACACCTGCATTCTGTTTGTCACTGGGACCAAAAGTTGCCTATGGGAAGCCCACAACAGGACACAACAGTAATAGACTTCTGCTGTTCATCCTCAGCATCCTTTATTCACCCTTTTCCTAAACTAAACAACCACTGGAGACGTGACATTCCACATTGCACAGGAGTTTCCCCTTAATTATTTTGATAGACCTCATCTTCTGCTCTAAAATATCTATTCTAAGGAGCAGTGAACAGAACTGTGCACAGTATTTCAAATGTGATTACACTACAGATTTTTCTAGAGACATTACAGTATTGGTAGCTTCTAAAAAAACCTGGCACTTTTGAGAACAGCTGTAGCCAGGAATTTAATCAACTCCATCTGTTAAGAAGGTTATAGCCTTTTTAGATTCAAAAAGTAACTGCCATCCATGTATGTCTTCACAGCTTTGGAGGTGTACTACTTTGGGGCTACCATTCACAATCAGCATCAATGAAGGGGTGGGGAGCCAACTGCCTTTTGCCTCAAAACTGCCTTCTTATGTCCTACGGCAATCTCAGTGGTCAACCAAGCATGTGAAAAATGCTAAGAGCAAAGGGACCAGATTCAGGGCAACCTTTTTCATCTATGGTATTTGGGGGTGGGATGGGGAGATGACAAGAAGAGGAATGTTTTTTACTGATGTCTATAGGTGAAAATAATAGAACATATCCCTCCATTCAAAAGTCAAATCTGAACCCAGAGAGTTGCTCCTGTTGACACACCTGCCTATGAGCAACATTTATTTCACTGCTAGAATATGCTAATATATTTTAGCCCAACTTCAACTATTTTCACATTTTTCTCATCAGCCATTTAGAAACAATTTTATTCTTTTGTTAAAGCCTATTACAAAAAATATATAGCACTTTCTTCTCTTTGTCATACCTACAGTTCTATGGGACTGGTTACAGTTCCATGGGACTGATGGCTGAACGATGGAAGGCTCCAATCTCAGAGCCCTCCAACCATTCTATGCCCCACCAGGCAGCTGTTGGCAGGGTGAGGAGAACAGCAGAAGTATTTTTAGCCACTCTCTCCTCCATTTGTCCTATTTAATTTAGATAAGCCTCTGTATCCATTTGGCTCCCTCACTTCCCTGGGATTGGGGCTTTTGAATCTGGTGGGATCTCCTCTCATCACCCCACTCATTTTCTCTCTCCATCCCAAGGTTGGAGCTCAGAAGGGAAACTCCAAGCCATCCTCTATTTCAGTTGTATTAATGTTCAAGCCCTCAAAATGGTTCTACTAATTATTGTTCTGTCTTTTTTAATTTTTCACTGTTTACTAAGTACTAAATATTTCATTTCTTGCTTGTTAAGATTTTCTCACTAGTGAATAGTGCAACATTTCAGAAAGTTCCAGGACTCTTCTTTTTAAATTATTTCCTATGACTGCATAATTGGGAAAAGGATTTACAGAAGGAGCTAGAAGACTGACATAAAGTGAGGAAGAACTGTTTAATTCTTTCACTGAGTGAGTTCAGACAACACAACAATCCATTTTAAAGGGTTGAGTATGAATTGAATTATGATTTGTTCTGGAAACCGTGGTTATTGTATGGTCTAAACCCAGCTGCAATAACAAACCATGGTTTGTTGACCATGAACAACCCATGAAAAGAACCCATGGCTTGTTTCAGGTTATTCATGCATAACAAATCATGGTTAGTTAACAAGGCTGGATTCAGATAACACAATAAACAATGTTGCAATAGCAACCCATAAATCAAATATAAGCTATACCCAACCCATACTGAACCTTTTAGTGTGGGTTACTGTGTTGTCTGAACCCAACCATTAGCTGCATTGTTTGTATGACATAGTAACACACTGTGGATAACTAGTCTAGAATATTGCACAAATGTTTACATTGTTTTAGTTGCTTGGTTGGTCTTTCGTAAGTGAGCTCTTACGGCTGCCCAATATGTGTAATCTTTTCTGATCAATTTCCTTGTAAGTTTCAGCTATCAAATGGGACTGGAAAGTACACTAGGTAACATATTTGTAGATTGATAAGGAAAGACTGCCTATGAGCTAATTAATGCACAGTTGCCAGGAATGTTGTCATGTTGTCAGTTAAAGAACAAAAAAATTCACAATTTTTGGTGATTTAAAAAGCAGCAAAAATGGTGCACCAAAAGGGAGGTAAGCTATGTAATCGTTTCAGTTTTCAGTGTTGAACTGACACTTCTTGTATCATCCACAAAATCTCTAGCTGTTGAGATAGTGGCACTTCCTTTTTCAAGCTTCTTTTCAAAACTTCAGGACCCTTATTGCTGCAAGTACTGCAGGTACCTAGCAATAATTCCCAGAAGGCAGCTGAACTGGATGGAGTGAATACAGCCCCACTTGGGCAGCAGCTCTGGGTATTGTCAACACCCTACTTGCTCCCTCCCATTCTGCCACCTGTAAAGGATGCATTTTGTTGTTTAACTATTGTGAGTTTTTGGACCATAACAATATATAAATTTAATGCCTGGGAAGTAAATGGCAGGGAAATGTTGCACCAATTTAAAGGCATGGCAGTAAATGGAGAGGAAATTGGTATACCTGCAGTAATGAAGCAATTACCGTAGCTGTACATATTTAACTTCCATTTACTTCCTAGCCATTACATTTGCAAAAAAGTTTGCATTTTGTTTAAGAACAGTCTGGGAACCATAGTAGTACTCTGAAAAGTAGCTGCAAAGGGGTGAATTAGATTGGGTGAGTGTTGAAGAGATGATGGTAACTGCTAAATGTCAGTCTAACACTTAAAATTGAGAGGGTTACAATGATAAGTGGGAGATATAGTCCTCCATTCCTTTTTGGTGTACTTTATTTTGCTGCTTTCCCCAATTTTTGCTGCTCTGTAATTGACAATTCAGCAAGTAGTCCCTGGCAACTAGCACAAAATGACCAGGCAAGACTACACCTAACAGGCATCCATAAGCACACTTGTCAAAGATTGGCACAATTTTCTAAGCTAAAAAAGGAAACAAACAGATCCCCAACTGTGAATTTTTGAGGCTCCAAATAAACAACAACAGTGGATGAAAATTGGAAATGATTGGAGTAGGGAAGGGCAAACAACATGGATTCCACTGTGAAGAACACTGGGATATTAGAATAGGCTTAAGGGGGAAAGGTGGGGGTGGACAAGCCACGGTAGACTCGATCAACCGCTGGTTTATTTTTTTTTATTTTATTTATTAAAACATTTCTATGCCGCCCCTTGCCAAAGCCTCGTTGATCTCTGTAACTCATTCACAGGCTCACTTAGCGTGATATGTGGATGTGGCTGCTATGTGTCAATATTAAAAGTGCTGTTATACAAAATTCTACCTAGATTGTATATGAGGTCTGTTTTTGTCTGACTGGTTTTAAAATCTGGATTGTTACCCAATTTACAGTGTAGGGATTGCAAGCATAAGGACTTTTTCTCCTAAACAATTTTAAAGGAAGGCTGGAATAAGGAGACTAATGTTGGGAAAGGAGTTTAATTTGATATAATTATTATTATTATTATTATTATTATTATTATTATTATTATAACATTTCTATGCCGCCCCTTGCCGAAACCTCGGGGCGGCTTACAACATGATAAAATACATTGAAATACAATAGTACATAATAAATTACCATTAAATAATCAATTTTCTGTTTGGAAACAAATCCTCAGAAGCCATTCTAATACTAAGGGGTGTAGCAGCTGGTAGTGATTGTGATAAAACACACTGTGACAAACACACTGTTGTTACAAGGGCATTTCCTCATCTAGCTAAGAATGCAACACTCATCTGCGGAAATCAAACAAATACAATGGCTCTGTGAAGTAGTAAACTTAACACTGCACCCATGGCACTTGTCATAAATAGTCTGCTGCACTCTGGACAGTCTGAAAGGAAAACAGATCCAAGAAAATAAAAAAATGCTAGAGGGAAGAAACCATCCTTCCTTGGAAAATTGGGGGAAAGACACCCCAACAAGCTGACAGTCTCAGAGAAGTTCATAAAGTATGTTCTCAGCCATGCCACGAAAATCAGTCAGAAGTTTATCCCACTCCTTGAGGCAGGCACAAAGTGGAAGGGCGCAACTGTCAGCCCGCTGGAGTTGTTCATAAAATGGTGAGTCATTGTTTGCGGCAGACAGATTCTGAGGTCACGTTCTCTAGACATTTCTAGAAATGTCTGGTAAAAGAACCACATCGTGGGGCTGTGCAGAAACTACAAAGACAATGAATACAGCTATGCCACTCAAACTTTTGCCAAGTATATAAATATAGTGGGATTTCCAGGCTACTAATGGTCCCCTAACTCTGCATCCTGAGGAACATTACAGCCCTCCAGCACCAGTAAATTTGAGCCAGCCATATATTGTAATAAAAAGGGGGGTGAAATGTACTTTCAGAGGCAAGCTGTTATCTTCATCAAATTAAATGTGCATCATCAAATCCCTGGCAAATGTGGATCAGCCATACCATGATACTGACAAGATTCTTGTTTGGTTATTGTAGCACAAGCTATTGTCTGTACTGGAGTTTTATTTCATGAATTTTCTACGGGAATAAGGGAGGTATTGGGTAGCCTAACGTACAGTGGAGCCATTAAAATGATGGGAAGTAAAGTAGTCATGGCTATTGTAGCCATGTAGGTCATACTGTAGGCCTTACTCATTTCAATTGGTCTACTATTCACATTGAGTTTCAGAACACTTGGAACAGGATTGAGTACCAAACAAATGCAATCAAAGTGACTTAGAAAAGAAAAAGAAGAGAAGCATAAGGAAATAAACACGAGGGCCTACCCTTCAGGCATAGATTTCTGCCTGTAGGTGCCTCCACCAGAGCCAGTTTCACTCGAGGATGACAAGTTGCTGGGGGAGTTACGGCACTGCTGTGATCTTGCTAAGGCAATGGATGATACGGTGACGTAGACATCAGAGCCTGGAGATAATCTGTTCAATACAAACAATTCCAAACTCTACATTATTAAAGGGACCACTGCAGTCCAAAGCTCAGTAAGGCAATGATACTATTATGGGAAGTGCCACATCAGCGGTGTCCATTCAGTGCAACAGTAAAAAATGAAGCCAGCTGGAGGGCAGTTTGTATTTCCCTTTAGTAATCTACTCCTTGTGGAACAGTGGCAAAAGACTATAGGGAAGAGGGAAAGAGGAGAAATTATTGCTTCCAAGGACTGCCAGAAATAAACTTGCTGACTTGCTCTTGCTATTTGCAAGAAAGGAAAATTAATGTGTAGCATATTTCATCCAGATTTCAAATAACAAAGCGATTTATCCATGCATATCAGAACAAACATTAGTACGTTGTTACAAAAATTTAGTATTAACTAATATGCTCCGTGAAAAGTGACACTCAGTCTGTAAAACTGGCATTTGACAATTAGTTTATTTCACTGGATATCTAAGAAACAAGGTTCATAATATTTGTGGATCTAAGTTACATTGTAAGACCATTTCATTCTCAACAGCCATCAGACAGGATACAGCATCCATTTTGTTAAAAATGAAAGCTGTTTGGCATAAAGCAACAGCCTAAAGACCTATTCACACAATCAGTATTCCAATGATAAAAAGCTCCTGAACTTATATTAACTTCTGATTTATCTACACACTCAAGGCTTGTATCACAAGTGGTGAAATGGTCCAGACAGTTAGTATAGGAGGAACAGAATTTTTCTAAAAGGAAGCAAGAGAACTATGGCCAGATCATGACCTTGAACCACCCTTTTTCTTTCCCTTGTTAACTTATTGGAAAAGAAGGGAAAATGCAGCAAATGAACATTCATATGCAGATTTTTTTTCTTTGTATGGTCAAAATTTTATTTCCTCAAGATGGAAAAAGAAAGCAATATTTATATATTCTAATCCTCAGAAGCACAACATCCAGCCATATGCTTTTTGCTAGGAAATGCTGGGAGTTGCAGAATTTTTTCCTGACTATGCATAGGAGTTTGCTTTTAATTTCTACTACACTTAATTTACAAAGTAATTCAATTTACTTGGGTAATCAAAACTCTTAAAATATTTTTTAAATGAAAAGGAAAAACTGAAACTCTAAAAAGACAGTCTAGGTAGATTAGCAATTTATTTGCCCTCATTTAGTCACTAACATTCTGATATTCCCCCAACCCTCCTTTAAGCACTAGCCAATTAAACAGTTTTTATGAGACTGAAACACATATATTAGCACACCTGTCCAACAAGCACTGCAAGGTTAGTATTTGTCACACTGTTATCTCTTTTCATACCATAGTGGATTGTAGTGAAGGTACAACCACCAGTACAACATCCATTCAATTTATTTCAGCTAGAAAATGTTCTGTTTTTACTGCTGTCCACGGGAACATTTTTCTGTAAGGTCACTTTTACGTGACCTTTTTTGGCCTGACATCCTGCACTACGAATATTATTCAGTGTGCTGGGGATATAGGAAGTCTGTGGGATGCAATCCAGACAGACGTTTTGCTGGACTGTTTAAACAGAAGGATCACTGGACCACTCTGTCAGATATCACTTTGCTTCTTGTTTCCCAGTCTGCTTACTGCCAATGTTCAGAATGGCATAGGAGCATCACCAATGGTAAACTTGGGCAGATTCCAAGCAAAGGAGGCATAGGGAATGGCTGCCAGTCGAAGGCAAATTGCTGCCACAGCCGGAACAATTCCTGAAGAGTTTTGAGCTCCACTGAGGGGTGGGAAAGCTGGAGATGAGGAGAGGATGAGGGCAGAGAAAGAGATAGAAAGCAGGATGGATATATTTTTGACCTTTTTTTAAGAGAGGAAGAAATTGGTCAAGGGTTGTGAAAAGTGGAAAGACAGGAGAGATTCTTCAGCAGAGGCTAGAAGAATGAGAGGAATAATTGGAGGTAAGTATAAATGTTTTTAATGTGCCTTTTAATGGTTTGTGAACTCTGGTTATTGTGGGTATTTATTGTGGTGGCTGTACTGTGGTGATCTTTTGCGTCCAACATGTGATTTTATTGGCCTATAAAATGTTTTCCTAGAGGAGATCAACCCTGACTGCTCTTTAGAAAGCCAGATCCTGAAGATGAAACTCAAATACTTTGGCCACCTAATGAGAAGGAAGGACTCCCTGGAGAAGAGCCTAATGCTGGGAACAATAGATGGCAAAAGAAGAAGGGGACGGCAGAGGATGAGGTGGTGAGATGGAGTCACTGAAGCAGTTGGTGTGAGCTTGAGTGGACTCTGGGAGATGGTGGAGGACAGGAAGGCCTGGAGGAATGTTGTCCATGGGGTCGCAATGGGTCGGGCATGACTTCGCAACTAACAACAACAACAACAACTAAAATGTTATCTGATGTACATTGTCTTATTATACTGTTGCATTTGTAACCTGCCCAGAGAGCCATACTTGGCTATGGGACAGGATAAAAATCTACTAAATAAATAAGTAAATCACTTGTTTTTATTTATTTTGGAGTTATAGCTATAACTGTATAAGAATTGATTAGATATTTTATATCAAGTATACATACAAATATTATTTAAATAAAATAAATAAATCCATTTTAATTATGTGTACTCTTTGTTCTCAACATTCTTCTGGAATACATACCCTCTGAAATTATACTTGGGCCCTGCTCTCTGTGCATTCAGGAAGGGGGTCATAACACCCCTTTAAATCTGGCTTTTAAAATGCTGCTTAGAGTTGTAGAGATTTTTTTTAAATCTTGCTGCTTTCATTTGCTTATGAAATTTGTTTATTGAAAGTGTATAAATTACCTTTAAACATTGGTTGGTTCCAAAAAGGCAATAAAAATGCAATAAAATTCAATAAAATAAACAAAAAGTACCTCCGAAGAACATTAACAGGTGTAATTCTACAGGTGCATCCACCAATCTTCAGTCTATTGTGAACACAGATTATATGAATACACAAACCATTTCTATACAACCTCCAACAACATATATTATAGTGTGTGCATGTACACACTTCCAAGAAGTCATGTACCCACAACAGGTAACTTCCAGAAACAATGCTCAGGCTTTGTACACATGCACCCTTATCTCTCCCATACTCTAGCCATCCCTGTGATAAATGTTATTACTCACACAACTTTCATAAATCAAAATACCATGCATTACAGAAACTGGATACATAAACAACTAGACTTGTCCACAGGAGGGCCAGTTATTGCTCATGCTCAAGTGCCTTTCTTCAAAATTTCTAAAGCTTGGAAGAATAGTACAACCATGTCTATATTCCAAATTTTGAACAGAGCTACTCAGAAACTTAAAATACAGCAAGTGTTTTTAAGATATCTTAATATATGTATTAATCAAAATTAAAGCATATGAGGAAGATATTATTTCCATGTGATGCTTTTACATGTCCCTGCTATTTGCTATCTGTTAGTAAGTCATTTCTCTAGATTTCTAGTTCTTATGTGTCAATTCCTACAACAGAATTTAAGAAGAGGGAGGAAGGCATTTGTCCAGTATGATCACAAGCTAAATATGAGCCAACAATGCAATGCACCTGCAAAAAAGGCTAGTGCAATTTTGGGCTGCATTAACAGAAGCATCACTTCCAAAACACATGAAGTACTAGTTCCACTATACCCAGCACCAGTCAGACCTCATCTGAAGAACTGTGTCCAGTTCGGGGCACCTACATTTTAAAAAGATGCAGAAAGCTAGAAAGGGTACAGAGGAGGGCAACAAGGATGATTCAGGGACAAAGCCCTGTGAGGAAAGACTGAGAGAACCGGTCATGTTCAGCCTCAGGAAGAGAAGATAACCACATGTTTGGGATTACATGAGCTGAACCAGGGGTCCGACTAGATGGCTCAGGAGACCCCCTTCTGCCTCACTTTTTGACTGTGTTTCTATGTTTCTAAGACTGAGAGGAGATATGATAGCACTCTACAAGTACTTCAAAGGCTGCCACAAAAGGACATATGAGATCTCTTCTCATTCATCCCAGAGTGCAGGATGGGGAATAACAGACTCAAGTTAAAAGAAACCAGATTTAGACTGGACACCAGAAGAACTTCCTGACTGTCAGAGAAGTACAACAATAGAACCCATTACCTGGAAAACGTGTGGGCTCTCCCTTACTGGAGTCATTCAAAAAGTATTTGGACAGTCATCTAAATGGGATGGTGTAACTTAGTGTCCTACAATAGCAGAGGATTAGACCCAATGGCCTTCTGGCCCCTTCCAACTCTACTATTCTATGATTCACATGGGGAAGTAGCCTCTGAATCACTGGTGTTCCAATACAAATGAGCAGAAGAACTTCTGGCACTAAATGGAAATGTTTGTCATTCTACTGGGTATATGTCATGGATTTTTAAAAAGATCTAAACACATGCTAGAGGCATGATACAATTGAAAGTTAGTGACCCCTTATTTTCTAACAATTCCTTCTGGCTCCAAGAGATCAGGCAAATATTTTAAGTTAGTCTGGTAAAAGAAAGTTAATACCCTGTTTCCAAGTCTCTGGATCTCTCATTTTAACTTCAATTAATCAGTCTGGTACCACCGAAACATCTTCACAAGTAAATGCAGACTAATTATATTCCCCACTACCAAGCGATATCAACTAGACAGGCTATCAGCTTCTATAGAGGAGAAAACCCATGAGTTATGCTAGATCAAACCAAAGACCTATGCAGTCTGGCAGTCTGTTCCCCCAATAGCCTTCAGGAAACCCACAAGTAGGACTTGAGTGCAAAAGCACTCTCTGACTTGTGTGTCCCAGTAACTGGTCCACAGAGGGACAGGCTGGGATATTAACAGGCAAATATGCCAATACATATACATTTAACTATGTCATAATAAGAAAGCCCAAAATAATCTAAACACGTGAGACTGCTCAAGAAAAAGTGACCCAAGCCACAAACGTGTAGCATATCGCCAAGGAAGTAAGCTTGTACAGCCATTGTCACTCACATCCATGTGCCCACAGGCGGACAAAGCTTGAGATTAAGTGTCCCCACATATACATATGAGGAACCCTGCCCCTCATCACCTGGCTCTGGAATGCCCACTCTTTTTGCTGCTGGGTGCCAAGCTAGCCATCAGGTGCTCCTCAGTTGACACTGCTCAACCCCAAGTAGGTTCTGAGTGGCCAATTTTTTGGGGGCTGGCAACTGCTATCCGAACAAAATAAAACAATCCACAGACACATACCCCTACACACAAAATAAAATCCAACAGGGATGTATGTGTTGGTCATTTAGCACAAAAATTAACAGCCTGCCATTTTGTTCATATTAATATTCCCTAACTTGGTATAATGGCATTTCTGCCAGATTACTGCTCTATAGTTCACATCTCACATATTTTGCCTGCTAGTCATTAAATACTAGCTGCTGGCTGCAATAGAGAGTGAATTTCATAAAATTTCTAAGGCATCTTGGGAAGAAATCCAATTTCAAAGCAGCAAAATCAACTATGATTGTGAACCAGAGAGTCTGAAACATTTATCCATTTCAAGCTCTCTGCATAATCACTGAGGCACTTGAAGCCAGTTTCTAGACTTTGCATTTGAAATAAGAAAAATACAGCTATACCCAAAATATTTTGTTCTGAAACTTATGGTGAAGTTTTGCAGTACATTTCTTTGGCAGCAGTTCTACTTTGGTTTAAACATTTACTTTAGTTGCTATTTCTGTTCCCAGAGCCATTTTTTTTTTGCTTTTAAGTTTTGCCTCAAAACTATGATACTGCAGGCATTACAATATTTCCACACTCTGCTATCACATCTATGAAATGACAGGTATAAAATCATATAACGGGAGCTGTAACAGGTGCACTGCTTTACAGAAAACCAGATGCCTCTCCTTGTACAAGCAGAAGTGCTTTCTGGCAGCACTAAGCAACTACTGGATACAATCGTCTTCAATAATTCTTACTCCCAGCTAAGGGTAAATGGGATTGCAGATATTGCCTGCACTCTTTTACTCTTTGCCCCTCTATCATGTTCATTTTCACAAGAAGATATTGACTAGCCTCAATGGATTGCCACATTGACCAAATCTAGACTGCTTCCTGGAGGGTGGCTTATTTTTCAGCAACAAGCCAGTCTGACAACCTCTGCTTGTTCCTGGGATTTTACAATTCACAACAAGTGGTGATGTTGTCTGAACCTGGTAGAACAGTTTCATTGGGAGCTGCAGGGATCAACTAGCAAGCCACTTTTCAAGAGTGGCAAAAAACAAAACAAAAACAAAACCCTGATGCTTGTTGTGATCTTGCTCTTGTCTGTCCAGTGACAGACCCTCTACTGATGTCCAAGAGGCACTTTTGAGCAATCGTCACTGGTTTGCCACCATTTTATTTCTTTCTGCACCAGACAATTGTACAATATGTTTGCAATATTAATGGTATTGTTATTGCTGGCCTTTTGCATGTACACAGTGAGTAATCTTCTCTGGTCAAATGCCTTGTTTCAGCAGTCAAAAAGAGCAGCAAAATGGAGTAGGTAAAATACATGGAAATGGACAAAATGAAACTGCACATAGGCTAATTTGGGCACAGTTGTGCCCAACTGCTGAGCTGTCAATTGAAAAGCACTAGTAAAGGAGGAAAAAAGCAGCAAAAGAAGTTGCACCAAATGGGGGCACAGCATCTACCACTTAGCAATGGAAACCTCTTCATTTGAAGTGCTGAACTGACACTTTTCAGTGTTCCACACCTTTTCAACACTTCAACACTTTCCTGAGTTTCCAGCTAGTTCTGAAAGGGGAGATACTGGCTCCTCCCTCTTTTCATGCCTCTTTTCTGAACCACTCACCACTCTTGTTACTGTAGCTTTGTGATTGCTCTAAAGCAAAACAAAAATGAAGACACCTGTAAGAAATGACTTGAGATGGAATGAATGGGGCTCAGTACAGGAGTGGGTGTATGGACCACTGTTGCTGACTCTCCATTTGCTCTGCCCCACCCCTTTTGTGGGAATATTTGTGCAGTTCTTGGAAATGGAAAATATACGCAAGTGAAATGGCTGGGAAGTAAATAGAGGGACAATTTCTACCAACTGAAGGGCAGGGAAGTAAGTAACTGAAGGGTAGATATGAGTATCTGCACATATAGAGCAGTCGCTGCAAGTGTGCAAATTTGGCCAGTTACCTTCAAGCCCTTACAATGGCTCAAATTTATATCCCAGCCAGTGTATTTGCATATTTTTCTTTGGGATTTTTAGAAGGAATTGCAGCAGTTAAGTACTCTGAAAAGGAGCTACAAAAAGGAGTAGGATGGGGGAAGGATGAGTAGCTGAGTATTTAAGGAAGTGCTGAAAACATGGAGGAGCCTGTACTCGTACACAGCTTTGCCTTCACAATTTCCTTATATGCTACTTACTCCACTATACATATAGGGAAATACTACATATACTGGACAGCTGTGAGTGCACCTTTATTGTTTAAAAATAAACAAGATAACTAATACGACTGCACGATGTTCTGAGCAGACACAGAACCATACCTGTACATTTTTGAGGCTCTGAAAAGTTTTTTTTTTTTAAACCCAATGGTGAGCCAAAAGGCAGAGCAACTATAACAAGGAAAAGGAGACAAGACCTGTCCTGCCACTGGGAAATTGGTTAGAAGATTTGACAGGGAAGGAAGGGGAAAACAAGCCCTGATGAGCAAAATCATCTGGCAGGTGTGCTGTGGATTTTTCCATGAAGATCCCACACTCTGTAGCTTATCTGCAGGGTGGCTTTAGTGTGATGTGCAATATTACGTCACTCATATCAATCACCTGATTTTAACCAACTACAGACTTCCAGCATTCCTAGCACGTACAGAAGGAGTGGGACAAGAATTCTAAGGACGCCATGGTGAAAGGAATGCAACAGGCCAATCTGAACAGAACAAAAACAAGACTCAAAAGTGTTTACTGCAGAAAGGATTAACTGACACTTTTCCTTTCACTGATTACTTTCAGCTGTGCTTTGAGAAATAGAAAGAAATAGTGATAAAGCTAAAGAACATTTTATGGCATCAAAATGAACTCTACAGAGTTTAGACTTTGTTGGGATTTGGAGTGGAATATGTGACAACTGAGAGCCCACAGGCTTGCTTGTTTACATCAATGTCAAATGAGCTTTGGTCCAAGCTCAGATCTTCAGGCAAAACTGGTTGTGTCAGATGACAACATGGAATAATAATAAGCATACCTGGCTAGTATCAAGCAATCAAAAGCAAGGAAAAGATCAGTTCACTATACACTCATGGACCTTTTGGGGGCATGAGAAAATGCTGGAATAGCAACATATTCCAGGCAACATTTATTCAGAATTCCAGCAAGTCAGGGAAAATCTGTAATTAGCAAAATTTGTTGACTCATCTACACATTACATTAGAAATATAGAAACATAGAAACAGAGTAAGTCAGAATGGACCTCCTGGGTCATTTAGTCTGACCCCTGGCTCCACCCGGCTCCGCTCATGACATGCGTACCATGTACACGTCCAGCCTATCCTTAAACACCCTCACCAATGGGGCTTCAACCACCTCCCATGGAAGCCCATTCCATACCCTCAGGGTCCTAACAGTCAGGAAGTACTTCCTGGCATCCACCCTAATGGGATGAGAATCAATAAATGAAACACTCCCCAGATATGCAAAGAGCAACTCTTCTACCACAGTACAGAGACAGCTGCATTCTTTCAGTTTTCTGTATGAATGGCTTTTGCCTCATCTTCCTTATCACTCAAGTTTTTTCTTCACATACACATAAAAGGTTGAAGAGTGTGTATGTATGTCTTCCTCAACATCATCTCCTTGGCCACTTGCTGTGGTCAAGGAGAAGAAAGGAGATTAGAAAAAAAACATTCTAAATGTTCAATTGAGTATGTGCAGATATTGGGAAAAATGAGATAGCATGACTTGGAAGTCTATGACTGAAAACAGGCAACTGACTTCAATCCATACCATTGCTCACTGCTAGTTTGGTATCATTTCAGATTCTGAATACCTTTGGAAATGAGCAAAAACATAAACCTGGACTGGTTAAAGAACATGCATTTAGAATTTCACCTACACATGTGTAGAGAGAAAAAAATCCTAGAACTCTCAGTATGCACTTAATGATTAAAAATCTATTTTAAGATTTGAATTTTAAAATGTTGTAACCTGGCTTGGATGCAAAGACAAATACCATTCGATTTCCTACCTTCTACTCTCCAGCGGACGCCCATCACTGGAAATGCTGCGTGGAATGTTGGCTGATCGCTCTGGAGGAGGCATCTTCCCTTCGGCTTTCCCTGAGGCACCCCTTGCGGTAACAGGACTTTGTATCTGTGATGGCAGTTGTTGCACATGAGGCCCTTGTCCCTTGCTAGCATTTCGCTGCCATTTGTTGTTATTTCTGAAGGGAAACTTGAACTCATATGGAACGCCACCATCATTCATTTTGTATTCCATCATTGGCATGCAATGAGTTTCTGAAAAACTTCTAAGAGATTGGGGAGGGAGAGAGCATAAATCCACTGTTAAATAAACAAGAGAAGTATTTGCGGTGCATTATATCTAAAGATACTTCATGCTGTGCATATGTATGAGGCTTGCCAGTCACACAGATTTTCAGACGCTTTCCCAAGATATAGTTCTAGTACCATTCCCACACTTTATTTTTGGAACAGAAATCTGATCATACCACCCCACAGTAGGGAAACCGAGTGCAAGACCCATTAAGCTCAACACATTTTCTGAGCAACTATGAACCCGACTGCACTTTAAGCATGGATCCTGATATCCAGTCTTTATGAAAGAACTGAAAATACGGCACCCAGGAAAATAACTAGGGTTTTCTATCTTGTCGTTCCGTTTTTAAAGACTGTGACATTTAGTTTTGGAAACTAGGAAGTAAGGTTTTCTGATGGGACCACTATCATTTTGAAGCAATTAATGTTTGTCTGTGTAAGCGTGTGAGTAGGGAGTCTACAGTATAAATTGAGATAATTCCCTGAACAAAGTCAACAATAGATAATAACTCATTCACTGCCTCCCAAATACCTTCGTGGAGTGCAATCCTCATGAGGTGGGATAATGACAACCTTCACAGTAACTGAGGTCCGTAGAAGATCAATCATTTGTTCATGACTTAAAGTGGCTACAGCCACAGTGCAGATTTCCACTAATCTGCTGCCTTGCCGTAATCCTGCTTGCCAAGCGTAGCCATAGGGTTCAACATCTGCCACAATTCCTTCATAGTTCACATGAAAACCAAGCTGACCCAGTCCATTCCGGCGTAAAGTCATTTCCACTGACTCACAACCCTTTGTCTCAAGCTGAGAATTGAAACAAAGAGGATATGGGGTATAATGGGAAGAGTTTAGTACAAAGAATTTACTAAAGTAGGAGACGGAAATAAATGGGACAGCTTTTTAAAAGAGTACATAAAGCAATATAGGATAATGATATGCCTTATTCTTCCAGCTACTGCTGCACAGTTTCAATGGAAGTTAGTTTACTCTTGCATGAAAATGCCAGGTGCAGCCTGATTTTGTATAAATTATCATTTGTAATAGAAAAATGCATGATTTCCCTCATAGTAGGGAGAAAGCTATTTTCTGATGAATCAAATAAGAATATTTCCTATACAAATCTGTAGCAAAACAGTAGAAACTAATATTATGACTTGTACAATATTTGATACACTATCCAAAGGCTTTAATTTACATCTGAACAAAGAACAGGCAATAAGCAACAAAGCATTTCTTTGTCTTAGTCAGTTTGTAACTCTGGGTGGGTGGAAAGAAGACTAGAAAAATAATTCCCATTACTTATGTAGCACAATGAAAACACAAGTTGGTATTTTTGTTTATTTCACTTGACTGCTTCCAGAATCCAATCCATTTCTATAGGTTTTTCATGACACTTACTTGAATCTACTCATGACTGATTTAAATATTTGAGAGTGAGAGAGCAAGAGGGAGACTAAGAGGAATAAGGAGTGATGGAAAAAGATCTCTAACCTCTAGCCTTTTAACAATCTCTTTGATATCTTCAGGGTTTTTGAAACTTTCCACAGAAACACATTCACCCCTTTCATAGAAAATTTTGACACTTGTATCTGTTGAAGTCCACCCTATTACATCTCTGCAGGAGCAACTGAACACAACACTCTTTGTATCTTGTTCAATGATAACGACAAATTCATTAGAAATGCCCAGGAGACAGTCTATATCTAGGCCTTTGCTGTAGTCTTTAGCACGGAGACTCCATACAATTGCGCCTGAACTGTGGAGCTCTACTCCTGGGTGAGGCTTGGACTTTTCCTTCTTCTTAGAGGCAAGTGAGATGAAGGGGAATTTGCCAGAAGGGTCAATGGGTGTATTTGTAACATTCTTTTCTGCCAAATCTTTCAAGTATTCCTGGCGGGTTCTTGTGGCCATGGCACGGAACTTCTCTGATTTATGTGCTGCGTTCTCAGCATTGATCACCTTAGCTAATAAAAAGTCCCTGAATACATTTGATTTGGGGAAGGTGATGCCTTTAGGGATTGGTGGTCCAAATGATGGTACATCTCTGGATCTTGTCACAGCAACACTACAAAATATAAAGAAAATATGACTTAATGATATTGTTTGGTGATGTGTTGAAAGCAGAGTATCCAATCACTGCTGATTCTATAATTGCCTTTCCGTCCCACCTTTGAGTCCATCAGCTGCTCCTAGATATCTCGGAGCAAAAAAGAAGAAGAAAAGCTGGCAGAGTTTTCCATATTCTCTTTAGAAGACCTATGTTTCTAAACACAACCTTGCTAATTTGAAAATCCTTATATTTCTCCCTGTATACCCCAACATAGTCTTACTCTATGGTTCATACTTCTAATGCAAATAACACAAAACTACAAGTAATTTCTGAAATTAGATATCTTAAGTTGCCATTTGCTATCATTTATATCCTTGTTCTTATGCAGGGGCATATTCCTCAACAAACCATTCTTTCAAAATTAGATTGAATTTCAATACTCTTTCAATGAGAGAGCTTTTCTAGATGGCCTGGTGTGTAAACTAAAAGGCAGCTAACAACAATAATACACACCAAAAATACAAAGTGCAAAATATAAAAGGGAAGTAAAACATCAATAAAATCAATAAACACAACAAATGAAAACCTATTGCAACTCATTTAAAGACCAGCTTACGAGCCAAAAATCAAAATTAACAATTGTTTTCCTGCCAGCAGAAGATTATCATGGTTGGAACTAGTTATGCCTCTTTTGGCAGGGAGTTCCAGAATCTTGGAGCAACTCTAGTGATTGTTTTGTCCTTAATCAGATGATTTGAACTTGTCTTAAGTATAAAGGTCGTATTTTTGACAGTGAGATGGACTGCATGCTTCCTCTTTTCATCGCTATTGATAAGCCCCAGCTAATGCTGTGTGACAAGGTCTGTCAAGAGCACACAGCATCTTAGTTATATCCTGTTTGGAATATGTGGAGCTCTTTTGAAAATTGATCAGAGACTTCAACTGGTCCACAATGCTGCAGCCAAACAGGTGAGCCAGGTATATGAAGCCTGTGATTCTCTTGTTACAGGAGCTGTTTTAAGATATAATTTAAACTATGCTCCAGAACTGTATCTGTATTTTTCTATTGTTCGCTGCCTCAAGCACTATTTTTAGTGGAAAGGCAGGGTATAAATTACATAATTACATAATAATAAGTGCCTTGTGGGCTTCCAATGACACTTTGGGAATTATTCAAGTTGTAGTTCTTTCTTAGCATATAGTCCTCCATGATGTGGGCCCTGCACACCTCACAATTTAAGAAGCTGAGAGGAAGGAGAAGGCAAAAGATTGTGTTGGAGAAATGTGAGGCTTTTATCACTAGAGAGAGACCTAGTCCCAAACTAGGATCTGTGAAATAGGAAAATTTTATTTTCTCCGGCTTTAAGGAAAAAGCAGTGCTAGGTGAGCTGAAGCTGCAGATGTCACATGCACACTATCCTTCTTCTCTGCTTTGTAATAGTAACGTGTAAGTGACTCTTATCCAGAGCCACGAGGTTGGGATACAATGGAGTAAAAACTGAAGAGGGAACGGAAGCAGGTGCCCATGGAAAATGCACAGAAAAAGCAGCAGGAAGAAGGGAAGGAAGGGTAGAGACAGCTGGGAAAGAAAGTTCTCACACTCTCATATACTCAGATTCTCATATGCATCCCTGCATTTGCTTGGCATGTGAACAATTGTCTCAATTTATCCTAAATTATTAAGTAACAGTTAACAGCAGCTAAGTTTTGGAACTGTAAGAATGAGCTCTGAATTTGTTGTGTTCTCCAACAATAAGAACAGAATACAAACAAGCAGAAAATATAGCTGTAGTCTCTTGTCTCTCAGATCAAATGTTTTATCCTCCAAATATCATAGAACTGCTCACTGGGAATTTCTGGAATATTTTATTTGTGTCCTTTTACTACCTCAGGTGGAGAATGATTTGCAACAAGCAAGCAACAGCAACACTGTGTCTTATTTCTGAAGAAGCATGCCTTTCCAGTCTTTTATGCCTATGGTTAATATGCTGAATTTGACTGAATACATCTGTATATTTTGGATGTTTTGGGGCAGGGGGGGTCTTTCACAAACACATTTTCTTCTCCTGAGATTTGAATTCAAAAGGAACTTCAGGCATATAAACAATGTGTGATGATCAGCATCATACTGGTGCATATGGTTTTCTACGTTTTCATCTTGCCTTTTGGCCTTTTGTTTATTTTTAAATACGTGTACACAAAATTAACTCTTACTAGAATCATCACCAAGCTGATATGAAACTCCCCCAGACATTTTGTAAACTCTGACACTAATTCTGGGTTCAGAGTGTGTTAACTTTCCCTGTGAGAAATGGTTCTAAGTGTGCCAAATACTTGATGCCACTGCACTTAAAATAATATTCTTGAAAATTAACAGCAAAAGGCATTATAAAATATAGCACAACAGATTTAGGACATAGTAAGCCTCCATGCATGCAGATCCACTACTTTAAGCTGACTATTAATTCAGTAATAGTTACCTGTAACAGACATTGTCAGTGCAAGGATTGTGTACCCGGACAATCACAAAGACGTGCTGGAAGTGGGAACGAATATTCTTTGGGCTGAATGATTCTGCTCCAGGTTCCTGGAAAACTATTGTCACAATATCATTTCCAATATGTCGTTTTCTTAAAAGCTATGTAAGTAAAGACAAAAAATCTGATATTAGGATAAAACTATGTGAATCTTCTTATCGCATGCTGTCTATTATTCCAGTTAATACACAAAACATGGAATATATTTCCATTAAAATCCATTAAAGAATTAACTTGCTGTATAACTGAGCAAGGAAATGAGGAATTTGCCAATATCTGACATGGTGAAATGAGCTACTAGCATCTTGCATCCCCAGTTTCCATAACAACAGTTTCAGATCTATTTTAATGCAATGAAATATCTTGCTATGGGGTAGATCTGTATTTCCAAAATCAAATGTACAGTAATATAGTTTATGTTGTGATGATGTCTACTTGTTATTTTCTTTCACCCATTACAAAATGCCAGAGCCTGAAACTTAGACAATTTCCTTCAGTGAATTAAAATTGTGTTTTCATATTTGACAGTGGCAGTATCTCCAAGCAAATTCTTTTTATATTTTTCAATTCAGCTTTTATTTATAAAACTTATCTGGAGAAGAAAATTTCACAGCTTCCTACGTGTTACAGCATAATACAATAGTACTGTCTGATAGAATTTGCCACAGTGATCCAAAGTAGTTGTATTTTAAATGAAAATAAAAATATTTGACTAAACAGAATCAAATCATGTTACCTCTATGAATTAGCAATTATCTTCCAAAAAAGTCACATCCTAATATGAATTTCCAAATTCTGCTTCTCTCTAAGCAACCAAAATGACAGTAATATATGTTTGTAAAATATATAATTACTCAAGCTAGAAATTGGACACAAGCTTTAATTTAACAGGTTTACAACTGCAGAAAAGTATCATGGGTTATATATGCTTGGATGCAAAGATGCCTTTCTGTTAGTAGAAGGCTTCCTTCCACTTACAAAAGGGCTGTTTCCGACTTGGCAAAAGAGCATTGTGTGAGATTCCAAATCAAGATAATTTTTTCCTTTTGCATAAATTCCTGTACAAGACTTTCTGTAAGCTCTTTTGAAGGCATTTTTTATGGCCCACTAGAGATTAGCATATAATCTCAGCATCTTCTTTATCCAACATGTTTCTCATGTTGTAAAACAAGACCTAATAAATTATTGCAGTGTACTGTGAGGTCTTCCAGTAGGCTTGCTCCGAAGTTCACAAAGCAGCAATACTTTGGATCCAGGCCAGAGAGAGAGAAAATATTTGTCTTGCCTGAGGGAGCTGAGACAAATTTCTCAGGTTCTGATTTTCCTTCTGAACCTGCGTGGAGGTTCAAACAGCCAGCACCATGCTAACAGCATTACGGCAGAGCAATGTACACCACAGTTTTAAAGTGCTTTGAATAACTCTGCTCTTTGAATGGTAATAGTTTTCCCATTTCCAATTATTTATTAAGATCCTGCCAAACAATAACAGTTCCATTTAAAAAATATATTTTTGGTGGGGGAAGTGGAGAGGAAGTAAGAAAACTTCCAGGTGACTGCAAGTGGCTAGACAAGATAGGTAGTGGTGATCTATGATTTTGGGAAAGCATTGAACAGAGTCGATACCTAGGTCAAGCAACAATCAGTTCCAGATAGATTAGAACAGGAAACAGGTATTTCCCATCTCATTTTCATAGTGCCCCAGAGGACAAGAGGGAAGGACATGTATGTTAGCCAAGATTTGATTCTGCTCATTCACACAGGGCAACGGGATTAAGGCTTAAATCTAAAATTCTCTACACGGTGAAAGTGGATACTACCTGTTGCTTGTTGTTTGGTGTGTATGGCAGCATGGTGGAAACATGGAACATGATTTCATAGTCCTTGTATGTTGTATAAAGAGAGTGGGTGCCAGTTGAATCAGCTGTAATGAAAATAATATAAGAAAAATCCAATTTATCATTAAAATTTACTCATACATAATAAGAGTTACACCAAGCACAATGTCCAGCCATCATTCTAAGAGTTACATAAAATGCTCATTAGGTTTTTATATTATATTCTACTGTCTGCATGCATTGTAGTGATTAAAATATTTTACTAAAATGATCTTACAAAGAGGGGAAAAGCATGAAATAAAAATGTGTTAGAAAATAGGTCAGAATTTATTTGATAAATGTTTATTTTATTTATTTAGAATTTTTGTATGCCGTCCCATTGCTTATAGCCTTGGGATGGAGGCTATAAATGTTGCAATTTTTAAAGCTTCTTAAAATATTTCCCCCTACAATGCATATTTAATACTTAACTATTATGGTCAAAAGGGCAGAGTGGCTACTAGTTCTTCTTCCTCTGGACTTGTAGTTTGTTGAACAGGGCTAACCTTCCCATTCTGCATAGCAACCCATTTGGAAAATGAAGGTCGCTGATCTGTTTAGGCTAACTGATACCATGTTAAAGTTTGTCATGAACTTTGTAAACAAATTCTCACGTTCAGCTTACTAATGGCCTTATAATTTGTGCTGTTCACAGTACTGGCTAGAATAGCAATTGGGATGCGTCTTGTTCTACATGGACCCATGCAACAGTGGATGATTACACTGTAGAAACTGAAGTGCTGGCTGTCTGAGATTAGTCACTTTCCCCATTGACAGAAACAGAAGAAGGCACATTTTTTTCCTTCCCCTTGGCTGAAATCCTGCCAAATGGAAGAAAATGCAAGCCGTGTAAAATGAGATGTATGTACAGAGCACCAAGATAAGAGGATCAGAGAGATAACCACATTTGCAGAAGAGACCAGTTTAAGTAAAGATGTCAAAGGACAAAGTTTTACAACAAGCTGGCCAGCTAAGAATTCACTAGGGACCTAATGGAGATTCTTAAAGAGCTCAAATGGGGCAGTGTTAACTGAAATGTAAATCATTAGACTCAGCCTCTTTGGAAGTATCCAATCAAAAAAACTATTTAAAACAAAACAAAAGAGATTCTGTAAGTCTGTCTATCCAAGTTGAACTGGTGGAAAGTGTAAATGATCACTCACTGAGGACATACAAGCAATAGGAGAATGGAAGTGCCAAGAAGAACGATTAAGGGCTGAAGACCTCTGAACTGTCATAGATAAGCACTACAGTCTAAACATGAAACAGTTTATACAATAGTCAATACAACTGCTAAATAGCCTACTTTTTACTTTTTTAAAAAACTGCACATTTAGCACATTTATTTTGCTGATTTTTAATTGTTTTTACAGCATGAGTTGTGACAACATTTGTATGCAATCTTTAATCTAATAACAGAGGCCTGTCAAGTAACTGTGTTTGTAAATGCTGAATAATCTTAGGAAGGGTTTATGGAGTGATTTGGCAAATATCTGTCATGTATGCTTGTACTGTCAAACCTCTGGCGTGCTTGTGGGAGGCTAACCATGCTATTTGTAATGATTCAGATTTGGAGGATAACACTGTTTGTGAGACTGTGCAGCCACAAGCTGCAGTTCAAGGTCCGGGGACTCAGCCAGGGGATGCAAGAGAAAAGATTAGCCCAAGGGTAGACAGGGATGCAGATCATACTGACCATGGGAGCGACGGGGAGTTACAGCCCACAGGAAGGGATACTGAACGGGAGATCTCGCCAATGGAGATCAACCTTCCCTTTCAGAGGTGCACCTGGTGGCTTGGCGCCAACACTGGCGAGAAACTCAACTAAGGGTACAACAGGTAGAGCAGGGGCAAGCCTGTTTTCATAGCCTTCCAGGGGCAGGGCACAGATAGGTTCATAAGAAGAGTTTTGGGAAATGAGCGAGAGATTGGGTTCAATTCAAAATACTACTTTGTGTATGCTCAGAGACTTATGTGAAACAATAAAGATTATTAGGCAAAGAAATGGTTTGAGACTGATGCTAGTTGGAGCTCACAGCAATACCTGAGAGATTATCCTTTCCTAGTCTGCTTTCCACTGTTAGGTAATTATTTGATTTGATTAGCACCAAGTAGGACTATGATAACATGAGGTACTGCATTAAAAACACAATGAAATATCTCAGCAAGGAAGAACAATCCCTCCCTCTAGTAAATCTGACCAGTCTAATTTATGTGCTTCTTTTTTAAAAGCACTTTCATCAAGTAAAATTAAATTTTAAAAGAAAATGTTATATTTTAAACAGGACACTTCAATCCAGGCATGCATTTTAGCCTACCAAGCTGAAACACAGACTAGCATGGCAGGAGCTTAAACGTTCTGCAGTTTTGTGGCTCAAGGCAAACAGCAAAAGAGCAAACAAAGGAAGATTACTGACTCTTTAAGGAATGCTATACATATAGTAATCTGTTTTGAGTTTGGCAGGTCATATGTTGTCTGGCCTTGCTTAAGTTCTTATCTGGGAAGTCTTAGCTTCAGACTCTGGCTTGTTTGGGGGGTGCGGTAACAAACCAAGAGTCCTGGTTACAGTCTTATTTCCTGGTTAGTGCATCATTCCTGCTGGTGGGAGAAGCCAAGGGGGAGTAACTGGGTATAGTGTTCCAATAGGCTCTTCATGTGTGATAAGCAGCTGTGGCTCATTATGTGTGAATATGGATGGTAGGAAGTATTTGTGAAAATATCCTTCCCTAACATGGTTTTGAGGACTTCTATGCTGACCAAGTCTCTCAGAAATTTACAAGTCAAGAATAGTCAATACTTTTAGCCTAGTTATGCTTCTTTTACTGCAGAAATGCATTTGGGGGCAAAGAGAGAAAATATGGGAATAGATTACCTTTCATGGATAATCTATTCATTATAGGAAAAGGAAGGAAGAAGAAATAAAAAAAATCAAGCAACTCAGTCCTCAAAAGGCTCTAGGTGATTTGGCACAGAAGTGAACAGAATATACCTAATGAGACTGCCATGAACAAGGCTCATCATTAAAAATTGATGTATTGATTATAATGAGATTACACCGTGACTTTTACAGTTTTATCTTGTGGAAACAGGCAATCTGTTACCTGATGAAAATTTGGGGGAAATCTTATGTAAAGATGACACAAAGGCAAAAGGAGCCATTTGTTTGTGTATGTGCACAGAGGGACAGGGCTTGAAACCTGAATTTTGGCTCTGCTGATAATTGGTAGCATTGTAAATGCTAGTGTTCCAGTGTTCTTGGTGTCCTTGCAAGGCAAAAGGATGGAGACAAGATCAGAGCTGACTAATGTTTGTCACCCTGCCATTCTCCCAGGAGTCCCAGTGGACACCAATTGCTGGTGACTGTCACTGTGAAAGCAGGGTATAAATGATAAATTAGCCCTTTTAAGCAACATGCAACACACATTAATTTACATTATAGACATATTGCTTGTATATAAGTGCTTGATTTGGTGCCTATTCAAGCAAAAAACAAGGAACCTGTGGCTCCAATTAGACAGAAAGGATCTTTGTTAGCAAATACCGATTGTCAACAGCAGCAGTATTTTAGCACAGGTCAATGTGAGGAAAGGGGTTTTTTAAACAGCTTTTTTTTAACACCCAACAGAAAGAGTAATGTTATTTCTCCTTCCCCACTTTCCCACTTGACTAAATACCTTTCTGAATCATAACACTAACATAGCAGGGGACAAAGTAAATTGAATTGCACTGACTAGGGATGGGAAGGGTTTACTTGCACTCAAAAGAAATAAAGTAATTTCAATTTTGTACATTTGATTTTGACATTTATGAACAGTTTCTAAATATACTTAATCAGCTTTTAAAAGGTTCTAGGCTATTTCATGTTTTAATAGTTTCTCCCTCTGTTGCCTATAGTCAAAACGTAAGTAATAGCAATACCATGGCAACAGGAAATTCACTGCACTGTTTGCAAATGCTTTTCTACTTTCATGACACATTCTTTACTTTAATTTCCTAAGCTGTGAGTGAGATAACTGTGGACCTCAATACATATGGGCTAATCTAAACACCACACAAAGAAAGGTCAAAGGTACATATGTGTTTTATAGAAGGACCAGAAAGAGGGAAGGTGTTTACTGTTAAATATCAGCTTTAAGAGTAAATTCACTGTACATTTGCTAGTGTATATTTATTTCACTTCAAAATCTTGGCAAAAAGGTAACTTTTTATTGTATTTTAACAGTGATGCAATTTGCAATCATTGCTTTGAACAACTCAACCTCCTTAGTGGAAAATTATGTGGAAAAAAAGCAAGATTTATGCAGCAAATTCTTTGGGGCAGGGCCCAATCTTTGGCTTAAGTTTGTAAAGCACTATGTACATCCAAGTAAATAAACACATTCCAGCAGTAGAACAGAAATTATCATTAAGAAGATGAACTACAGCAGAAACTGTATAATCTGTTGTAAACCACCCAGAGAGCTTCAGTTATAAAGTACAGAAGTGAAATACTCATAAATCATCATCATCATCATAATCCTCCTCCTCCTCCTCCAGTGGTTGTGTTTCACAAAGGAGAGTTGCAGTAGTCATGATGGGAATATTTCACAGAAGGTCAAGAAGGTATGAAAGAAGAGTGCTGGAAGAGTGGAGGCTTGCCTAGCTATTGCTCACTTGCTTAGCATGCTTCACTGCCCATCTATTTGCTGACCATTGCTGACCATGTAGTTAACTATGCGTCAATAATCTGCATAAAAGAAGCTGCCTTACTCTTTGTGTCTAGCTGGGCACGGTACTTTTCAAATCCCTTGAGCCGAACCCGTTCTCCCAGTAACTGAAGAAACTCTTCAAAGGCTGGGCCTGCCGATTCATTATTGTACATTTCTTCTTCTGTACTTTGTCCAGACTTGCAGTACATGATCCCCACTTTAAGTTGATAGCTTAGCTGTAAACACAAATTAAAACTCAAGGTTTGCATACACCATATTAAAAGATGAACTAGAATACTCTTTCCAAAAGGTTCCTATTGTTGTCTTTTCTCCTTCAATGAGAAAACTGTGATGAATAAATATAAAAATACATGTAAACTGGTCCACAAAGTTAATCAGCTGCTACTGATATTCCAAATCACAAACTTTCCCAAATGATGCTAAAGAAAAAAGAGAATGGAAGTAAACAGCCCTAAATCTGTAAATCAGAACTGGGCAAATGCCCTTGGGAACCTTGGTCTCCAAGAGAAAAAAGGAATTCTAACCACTGGTTTGCCACCAAAGTTCTACTGAGTGCTACAATTGTTAAATTAAGTTTGTTCCAAGCTAACTGTACTCTTTTTGGAACATATATGAGATGTGCAAACAAGCTAAATTTGGCTGCTTGGGCACACCATGTTGCATGCATTCCACCCTGCTATAAACTGTGGCTTTTTAGAAAGGGCAACAACAACAAACACAGCTTCTATCTTCTCTACAAGAATAGATTTGCTTTCCATTTTCTTGAACTTCCTATCAGCAGCTTTGGATTTGAAAATCATTTAAAATTAAACATTAAAACAATCAGAGCAATATCTAAGACTTAATAAGCACTTTAAACATTAAAAAGATCACCAAAATATTACCTAAGGTCACCAAATAAAAATGGTGGAATATTATATTATATTATATTATATTATATTAATGTCTGCCTTTCTTCCTCTGGCAAGGAACCCAAGGCAGTTTACAAGGTTTCCTTCTCTCCATTCTATCCTTACAACAGCTCTGTGAAGTAGGTTAGGCTGAGTAGTTCATGACTGGCTCAAAGTCACCCCAAGCTGAATGGCTGAGTAATGACTAGAACCCGTATCTCCTGAGTTCCTGTCCAACACTTAACCACTATACCACACTGCATTTTAGTTCAAGATTATCCTTCCACATGCAATCAATTCAAAACAAAGTTTGAATCTGGAGAGAGAACAGTGACAACGGCAGCTTTGGTTGAGATATGCTATAAACGGGATACCTTCTGTCATGGGAAAGGAATCTAAAATCTTATTTTGGGATACAGGATATGCACACTTTCTCTCTACAAGATGCAGGCAGTTCCATCATGGTACATAAACCAGCTAGATTCTGAAAAGACACCAGTGTCCCATGGTGAAGACAGTCAAGCAACTTAAACAAGTTAGATATGACACATACAATGGGCTTTCTTTATTAAGCTGCTAGGGCATAAGATATCTGACACCTCCATGAGGCTGACAGAAACAGCAGGAATAGCAAATGAAGCTTTGGAACTGAGGCTCAAACATCAAAGGAAAATTCAACTGATATCCAAAGCCATGTTAGACTTGCAGTTAAAAGTGGGGAACTAGAAAAAATCACTATTAAAACTATGTGCTCATGGTGTATGACAGTCAACCAGAACATAATGGCAATGCCTGGTAAGGTGGTTTTCCAGTGTTTTGGCAAATTAAACTTTATTGAAACCAAGCTTGAACAAACCCATAGAGCCTTGGCCTCCAAATTCTGAGATACTGTGGGGCTCTGAGATACATCAACATGAAACTTGCATGCTTGCCAGATGAAGAGCCACTTTTGCACAACTTGACAATCATGAATTCTCAATGCAGCAATATGCAGGTTCTGTGATTACAAGAAAGACACGAGGCTGAAATACAGCTGGATCTTAACAGAGGTAGGTGCTAGATATAGATGGAGACTCCCATTGTAACTCATATTGATTCAGAATGACACAACACATCATGTTGCAACCCACTGCAAAGACAGGCTCTTACTTGCCTTTTTTAATTTGGAGCCAATGGTAAAGATCTTTGAGCCGCAGAATGAAGATAAGACAGAGCTTGGTCAGTGTGATGACATGCCTGAGTGGAGCAACAAAACAACAACAGGAAAACACCAAGTTCTAGGGAAGGTTATATGTACTCACTTGTGGCCAGTTAGAATGCTTTGAGGAACCTACTGCTAGGAAGTGACTCAGCTCAGACCTAATACTGTTCCTTTGGAACAGAGTTCTGCCTGTTAGTACAAACTAAAGCTTTACATTGCCTAAATAAGTCTGCTACACAAATTGAGATGCTGCAGCTAAAGGAAGTGAGGAGAGATTCCAGATGTAGCTTATACCCTTCAAACATACCTCAAGTGGCTCATCATGTCCAGACTTGCAGGATGCCTTAAAGGATCCCTCTAAGAAATATGGTGTGAACATAATAAGAGGTTACTTCTTAGAAGGTAGACCTGGATACAAGGAGATGAAGGTACTTTGGGCAGGAGGGAAAATTTCGGATGTCATTTTGGAGTAAACCAAACATATGAAAGTATATTTGGTAAATGTGGGACGGGTAGTGTAAAAAAAACTGAATACTATAAAGAGAGGTAAGTTATATATCATTTTACCCCAAGAAGCTACCCAAAGGAAAGGAAAGAACAGACAAACTGATAAGGCAATACCAGTTTATGAATCATTATCCAACTCCAAGCATAGGGAGTGCTTGATGTCTTGGAAAAGAGACGATTGTTGAAAAACACTATGCTTTGATTGTTGAAAAGCACTATGATGGACTGTAATACTGATAGGTATTCAGTAAAGGAGCACTAGATGGTCACAACAGGCTAAGAATACTGTCCAAACACAGGGCAATTTCCCTTCTTAAGTGAAACCCCAACTATGGGACAACTTTTGGCATCATTTTCTGAATGTGGTGAATGGTGTAGGCATAATTTGCTCCAAGTCAGAAAAGGAGAAAGCTTCCAAACTATCCCATCTTTGAAAGTGATAATATGAATTTGCTTCACAGAGATGATTACTTTTATGTGGGTGAAAGTGAGAAGAAATAGCTAGGCAATGTAAGAATTTCATCGGATGTTCAATAGATGTATAGAATATTGCACATTGAGAGAAACTGCCAATGCAGCTCCATGCATGTAAAGAAAATCCGGAGAAAAAGAGTTCCTATTAAATATGATTCTGGCTTCATTCATTTCTCATTAGAAACAGCATTTGTCCAAAACCACCAGCTATTCACAGAACGCTGTGGAAACAGACTTTGAGATATGGACTGATTAATACATTGCATTCTTCTAGATAACTTGTGCATAAGCTTAAACTACCGAAAAGTCTGCTATATTAACCTGCCTGTACTGCATGTACTGTTGCTGTTTCATCCTACTGTTCCACAAATACAACTTTTTAAAAGTGACATTACATGGAAACTTAATGACAAATTATTCTTAATAGCAGATTATCTGAGGATCAGGCAGAAGGACTCAATGGTCACACTTCAACGGTTCAGATTCCGTCAGAGTGGGGTTGCTCATCCATGTGCTCCTCTCTGACAGGATCCTCCCTGCCTGCCTGCTGCTTTGCTAGTGGCAGGGAAGAGGCTTACACGACTGCTGGGACTGCACCTTTCAGCTGGAAGCAGTGGCAGGTTGCATCCGTCACTTCAGCCAACTCAAGAGTAAGCTGAAGCAATGGGTCCCCATTTCCCTCTCCCTGGCGGTGCTGTCAAGAGACAGTGGTCGGAGGTAGAAACTTCGGTGTTTCCATGGTTCTTTGAGATAACTGCAGGATGACTGAGGGTGAAGGAGGTGGCTTCAGGGCCACGAAGTATCCAAGCATATGAGACACACTGAGAACGTCGGCGTGTAATAGCATTCCAGACAGTCAGCTGAGTGTGTGGTCCAACCTACCCACTCAGCCTGGGTTTGCATGATACTGCAATGCACTGTAGATAATTAATCATGGTGAACTGCCCTGTTTATGGATACCAAGCCACCTTGAGAACCTAATGGATCATTGGGGGGATTTTTCTACTTGTGATGATTTGGCATGCTGTTGAAATTGTTTGCTGTTTCTCAAGCTTATGATTAATCTTATTACAATACACAAGTAAGTATAATATATTAGGGAGGTATGTCAGATTCTAATCTTGATAGGAAAAAGAGTTAACTGTATAAAAATACATTGTGCTAAGAGCACAAAATATTGAGGCATAGGCTCATAAAAAGTATGGTAGTTTCTACTGGGATGGTGCATATGGGGCAAGAAGGAGTAGGATGTAACCAAACAATTTTTTTTTCTCCGAAACAAATGTGTACCACCAGAATGTTGAGGCCATTGAGGTTCTAGCTGCAATGAAATGAAGTCCTCAGCCAAAACTTATGTTAGAGGACTTTTTACTTGCTCGATGCAGAAGGGAATGTATGTAACTTATCCATTTCAAAGGCTTTATTTAATCCTGCATTGCATTACAGACACCATCCCAGAATTCTCAAGAGGAGAGACTATCATTAAATAAATATGGCACAGTCAGAGTTCAGTGTCTACTTAGCAGATCTTTCCTAATATTTTTTTGCCATGAGCCAATGCATTTCTTGTATCTTTTTACTATCTATCAGAACAATCACTTCTCTGAAATTAAATCTAACTAGCTTTTGTATTTCATTTCTTGTAGAACACAGTTAAGCTCGTACTTTGGTGGCAGTTACAGCAGCAGTATGTCCCCCTGTAAATACACTGAAACACCTAGTATTTCTGATCCCGTGAATGAATAATACTAGGGAAATGTGTTTAGAAAGATTAAGGAATTTATTACAATGACAGTTCGCTCCAGTTGAATGACTGCCAAGCCCTGTTAGGCATGGAGAGAGATATGGATATTACAAAAATCAAAGCCAATTTTTAATGTGATCAGGATGGCTCTTTCATACACACACACGCATGCACATGCTGCCAGTTCTTCAGCAGTCTAGAAACTCTTTTATTGGGACCAGTTTAACTGACATGGTTTGGCATTTTGAAGGCTCTATTATTAGGAAATCCATACAGATAAGCAATTGCAGTCCAAACAGCTATATATAACATATAATTGACATATTTAGCTCTTGAAATTGAAAGAAAATATATGAAATATATATTTCATACATATATTCAAAATGTATGAAAATATACAAAGCTTGCATATATTCTGTACAATTTAATTGTCTTTATTCTGATGTATCATTTTTATCCTGATTTTCTGTTCACAGTCACATAAAGCTCACAGGAAGAAAAACAGTGGGACAATTAAAAGATAAAGTGCCATCATCAGTTTGAAACTGCAGCAGATAAAACTAAATCCAAAGCAGCAGCTTAAAGGTCAAGCAGAAAAAACTGAAGAAAACAAACAAACCGCTTGGTGAAAGAGAAAATGTTCAGTTATCAGTAGAGAGCATGGACAGAGGGTTCTCCAAGGGAAGGGCATTCCACCATCTTAGCACCACCAATGAAGAGGCCCTTACACAATTACATGCCCATCTCATGAAAAAGTAAGGCCACAATCAAAGTTTTCGATGAAGATTGTAATGAGCATTCAGGCTCACACAGAAATGGTCTCCCTGGGGTAAACTGGCTATAAGCCACCCAGGGCTCTAAAATCTAAAACCAGGACTTCAAAACTGAGACTTGAAACAAGTAGTCAGCAAATGCAAATGATGTATGCTTTGCTTTCCAAATTCCAGATAGTAATTTAGTAACAGCATTGTGAAAGCCTTGAAGGTTTTGGATCCTCTCCAAAGGAACAACAGCAGCAGCAGCCTGAAGAAATCTGGTTTGGAAGTATCTTGGATAACTAAGGCCAGGTCTGCCTTCTCTGCAAACCAACCAAAGCAGAGGAAAAGCACTTCTTCCTACCAACACTACCTGGACACCCAGAGAGATCCAGGTAAAGGATCACTTCCAAGCTGCATAATTGATCCTTCAAGAGTGCAATCTCATCAAGCACTGCCTATCTTTATTCACTGCCAAATCTCCTAACCAACAGCACCACCATTTTATCTGAGATATATTCCAACCTTTTTATTTCTCTGAACTGAAACCAGACATTGATCCATCTAAGCTATTGCCTCTCTGGGAATAGATTATGGAAATGAGGGATAGATTAGTGTATAATCTGCATACCAATGCCACTTTAAATCTATGCATGGTCTCATCTAGTGATTTCACATACATGTTAACAAGCATGGAAAAAAGAAAGCACCTTGTGATATCCAGCAACCAACAGCCAAGGTAGGGGTAGAACAGAAATCTACAGCACCATCTTTTGAGACAAACCTTTTGGGAAGGATCAGATCCATTAAAATGTAATGCTCCACAGACTCAACCATTTAAATCAGTTCAAAAGGATTTTACGCTTCATAGTACTAAAAGCTGCTGAGAGGTCCAGCAGAAGCATCGTCCCAAAGCAGATCATTGACCACAGCAATGTTTGCCAGAAACAAGAATGAATTCAATAGTTATTTTCATCCAATAATGCCTAGGTTGGGAAGCAAACCACTGTGCAACTACATAAAACACAACCCAACAGAAGGAAGTGCAACTTTCTATTAGTTTAGGAAACATTTCCACTCAATAGTTGAAAAAAAGTATCAAAAACCTTCAAAGAATAAAGAATCTAAAGTTATAATGTATTACATCGTTAGAATATAGATTGTCAGTGCCTAATGTGTTATGACAGGGAGTGCACAATTTTTTTTATCAATGTATTCATACATTTCTTTAGCTCACTATGAAGAAAATAACATACCTCTGATAATATGTACATGTAAACATACTAATCTGTTTAAAAAGTTGCATTCCTCAGTTTGCCTAATTTGCTGCTTCTTTACTTTTCTTTTTTTTAACAACAGCACAATTTAATTCTGGTATCTCAGTCAAAACATTTGCTTTATTCTGTAGTATTGAGAGACACATGGTAGCTTTCTTTAACATTTCCGGATAGGATGGATATAGTGCATCATATTCTAATGAAGGTTCACTGAAAGAGTAGAGTATGTTATTTAGAACTTACCCCTTGTTCATCAAGTTTCATAAGCTGTTCTGTCACTTTAGGAGTGTTGAAGGCCAACCTGAGACACTGTATATTTAGTTCAGGAACCACATGTTCAAGGACTTCTTTTAAGGGCAACCCTCTGGCTGTACAGTGCTTTGCGGTTGAAGGTATGGCATCCTCCAAGACAGAACCTCTTAGGGTTGTAAGCTAGGAAACAAAAGCTAGATACTAAGACAGAGGAAGAGAGGTCAAGGGAATGCAGGTTACAAACTCAAAAAGGAGTTAAAATGAAGATTCTTGGTTTCAGGTCTTTAATCTGAAGGTGCCTTCAGGTGCTAAAAGCAAATCACAAAAAGCTAAGTCATGCACCTGCTTTTCGTGGTTAGGAACTTGTGCACATTTAGTATGCATAGTATGGGTGATCCAGTCCTTTAATATTCAGAATTATGAAAAACAGATATACAGTCATCATGAATTCACTTGAATGAATTCCCCAAACAGATATACAGTCAAACAATGGAAAAAATGCATTGTTCTTTTTTTATTCCATTAATTGGAGCTCACAGGTAAATCAGACCAGTTTTACATTTGTTGGGGAAAAGTGGAAAGTGAATTCATGATGACTGTATATCTGTATAAACACAATTTTCATCCCCAAACACAATGCTTGGAGTAATTTTGCATTCCATCTTTATAAAAGAGGTAACAGTCAAACACCACAGCATATATTAAGTATTCTTTATACTGTAGCTTATTTCACTAAACTAGCATTTTGTTTTCTTTTACCCCTCACTGAAATTTATGAAAAACCTTTGCAAAAGCATTATGACCAGCACACATACATATAATTTAACACAAGCTGTAACACAACACTTTAGACGGATTTACATTTCAAAATATGCCAATTAAAATTAAAAACTGTTAGCAAGATCTAATTAACAAAGAAAATAACACACACATTTTTTAAACTAAGAATGGATACTAAAATCAATACGTCCCAACTGCAGTAATTTTCTAAAGGTCTTCCTAAGAAAAAAGAGTTTCAAATCTGTACACTGGGACTTAGGCAGGCCTTCTCTGTCAGACTGAGGGCAACAACTGAGAAAAATCTCTGCTTTCCCCCACAAATTTAACTTCCTGAATCAACCTTCATGAATTGACCTTTAAAAGATGGAAAAACTCTTATGGAGAAACCCATTCCTAAAAGTTGGCCCAAGTTGTTATGCATATTGTAGTTGTATAGCTGAAAAAACATTTTAGAAGCCAACATGTAGTCAGAACAAGCAACAGTGATCCAGCTGAGTATGTTCCCTACTGAAAGTAGAGATGCAGATGTGCTTGCCTTCTTATGAGCTGCTTCTTTCTGATGAGATTTTTTTCAAACACAGTTTGAAAATAATCTAGATTTGAAACATTTTAAATCAAGAAACAGTACTAAGTGGGAGAATGAAACAAATTTACTAATTTTTAAAATGTTTAGAGCCAAATGTTTTAAAACTAGACGGCTTTTGTCAAAATGAAAGCCACTATGGTGTGGTGGTTTGAGTGTTGGATTGGAACTTGGGAGATCCAGTTTCTAGTCTCCACTCAGTCATTAAGTCACTGGGTGATTCTGGGCCAGCCTAACCAACCTGAAAGGGAGCTGTGAATAAAATGGAAAGGATTATGTTAGTCAATTAGTATTCCCAGCAAGAGGTGGGAATAGAGACTTGATAAATAACAGCAAGAGATTCCTGTGATAGCTGCTACAGAAAACTGTACTATTAAGAACTGTGGTTTATTGATCCCCACCTTAGCACAGTCTCACTCAGAGGTCATCAACCGAGGCACTTTCCAGCTATCCACCACTAAGGGCAGAGAATGGTGAGCAGAAGAGGGTCCCACCATACTGGAATCTGCCTCTATCATAAATTTGTCAGGCCTCAAGAACTCTGACGACTCACTTATTTACTGGTCTTCCCATAAAACTGGCCATATGTTTTATTGATTTAATCTGCTTTATAGCATTTTACAGTACTTCCTGTATATTTATTGTTATATAAATGCTTTTGTATTTTTCCTGTTTTCCACCTCGAGAGGATTTGAAAATAATTTTAAATAAATAAAATAGATAATTCCTAAAACATAAGGATAATAATAAGAACTGCCATTTATTTATCTTTCTTTGCATTTCTGAACCCATAAGGGACACAATGCAAATAAAGCTGTATACATTATCTGCAACCAGGGCACCACTTAAAGCAAGAAGAAAACAAATGCTAGCAGTTAACGTCCCAGTTCAGCATAGCTATGTACAGACTTGAATCCTACTAAAGTCAAGTAAGACTTAAGTATGTGCCACATAGTAAAGGTAAAGGTTTCCCCTTGATGATACATCCAGTCATGCCTGACTCTAGGGGGTGGTGCTCATCTCCGTTTCCTAGCTGAGGGAGCCAGCGTTTGTCCGCAGACAGCGTTTGTCTGCAGACAGTCTCCGTGGTCATGTGGCCGGCATGACTAAACACCGAAGTGCACCGAACGCTGTTACCTGCCCACCGAAGGGATACCTTTTTATCTACTTGCATTTGCATGCTTTCCAACTGCAAGGTTGGCAGGAGCTGGGACGGAGCAACGGGAACTCACTCCGTTGTGCAGATCCAACTGGCGACCTTTCGATCAACCAGCCCAGCAGCACAGCGGTTTAAACCACTGCACCACCTGCAGTCCCTTATGGGCCGCATAAGTCACTGTAAAGTTGGTAAGCCTGAATCTAAGCTGTCTCCAGCACTTCTTCTATTTTGGATCATTTTAGATTTTCCCTTTGTTGCCTACCACCAACATCACCTTACATGAGTGCCTCCCTCTTCTTCCAAGTCAGCCTTTTTTCTTAACAAATTTTACACACTGTCACCCACGTAAACTTGATAAATGCCATTTTCCAAGCAGAAGAAATAAAACCTAGTTCATGCGTAATGCTAAGCCATGATTTGGTTTAACCTATGTCTTGTTGCCCTACTTAGGGTTAGTCTACCAGAAGCGTGAACAAAGCATCATTTGTTTCCTCAGTGCCTGTGTTGTTAATTTTCCTCCTCTTTTGCCTGCTCCTTCTCTGTATCAAATGCTTTTACAGCACTGTAGTCCTTCCTTGTATCTCAAGTGGATGTCAATAAATCCATCAAATGGATGTCAAGTCTTCATGCCATGTTTTTCACATTCTTATTCTTTTCCCTTATATCTTTTAAGATATAAGGGAAAAGAATAAGAACTAGATAGTATATACAGTTACTAAGTATGTTTCCATTTCCTTTAAATGAAATTCAAACATATATAGTAACTATAACCCTATCATGGAATTTGCATCATGTTTGTATTTTATCTTCAATTCCAGTATTGTATAAATGGAGAACAATTTAGTACAACACCCACTGTCTTGAACAAAGCTTCCCTTGGTTTTATATAATGCAATACAGCTGACAGCTCCCTAACATTGCATAACAGTTCATTAACTGAAAGCCATTATCCTTTCATGTTTGGACACTACCATTAGATCTGCAACTATTAAATTTAAACAACATTAGATCTTTTATTTTTAGTCCCTCTTTTATTCCTCACTGTAAGAAGTTTTAAAAACAGACTAGATACTACAACATTACTGGAATTATTTTAGTACATTTAAATAACAGGTAACATAGGGACTATTCAAAACATAAGAAAGACTACTGTTTAAACCACATTTAAATCTTTGCAGTAATTCCTGGAGTATACAGGTGTTTTTTTTGTTTTGTTTTTTTTGTTTTGTTTTGTTTTTTTTTTGTTTCTATATTGCTCATGCATTGCTTACCTCACTTGTTCTGAAAATGATGCGGTAGTTGTACTGAGAACCATTTTCTCTAATTTCTTCAGGTTTCTCCCTTCGGATGCTGACAGCTACAGGACCAAGGTTTTCATCTGCCCCAAAGTAGTTCCAGTGTTCTTGTGCATTAAAAGAATGGGGGAAGAAAGCAAGGATTATCTCAGGAAAAAGGACCAATATTTCACCTTCTTGATAATAGGTTTCTGTTTCAGAAGTTCATATAAAACATTCTCACATTTGCTCTAAATGTGAGCATGTTATTATTAGTCAGAGGCACATTCTCTCAAGAACAAAAGTAACACATGAGTTAGGGATGAGAGATATGGTTTGGCAGCATTCCAGAGATTCCCCCTGCCCCAAAATCTAAAAAAAAATTGCCCAATCTTTCCTTTACCTTGTTTCTCTTGTAATGGTCTTTTGACCAAACGAGTAAGAACAATCTTCCCCAAGGTCATGCTCTCCAGATGTTTTTGTCCGCAATCATTATCCCCAAGCAGTGCTGCCAATAGTGAGGACTGTTGGGAGTTGCTGTCTGAAACATCTGGAGGGTACCTGGATTGTGAAGGCTCTGCTTTTATTATATAATCTAAAAACTGCTCATTATTAAAAATCATATTGCGGAATTCATTGTAAGTGTACATAGGAATTCTAACTAGTATTCTGCACATTAAAACTTATTTGCCAATCCTCATTCAACAGCAAAGAATTGCAGTTTAAGACAGCTAATGCCTTCTCACCTTTCTGATAGAAGAATTTCCGGTAATAATATGCACCGAGATCCACATGTTCAACAATGTACCTTTTCACTCTATCCAAGTGTAACATTAGATTTTCCTTGGGTACTTCAAGCACTGCCACTCCTGCATTTGTGCAATGAGAGCTAAGAGTAGATTCAAAAGAGACACTTTCACAGCCACTGAAGGATCCAGAGTTAGATTTTGAAAGGCTGATCTTTCTTTCTCCTTCCCCACCAATCTCATTTCGAAAATAAGGGCAACTCATGACAAGATCATTGCTTTTATCATCTCCTTGGTCCATATTGAGACTTCCTTTGGAATTCAGGTCTTCTGTACTGCCCATAGGGGAATTAAAACTTGCAGAATGGGACAATGGCCCAGAAGCTAATGATGCAACTGCAGCAGCAGAAGCTCCAGTAGTTGTATTCCTTCGTTTAATAACGTTGTGCCGGTTAACTGCCACTTCATTTAAATCAAATAATATACTCTGAACATCATAATGGGCAAAGCACTTTGGGCAAGTCCAAGGCCTGACACTATCTTCTGATCTGCTGTCCTCAAGGTCTGAGGACTTCCCGAGATCCCCTTCACCTTTGGCATTACGCAGCTTTCGAAAAATGGAAGAATCTCCTGTCTCTGATTTTGAACGTCTCTTCAGTGGTTTCTCCCTTTCTTTAAACAGTTGGAGGTTTTCTCTCTGAGTTATGGGTCCATCTATGACATCCAAAGAAAATCCCGAACCCTTACTTCCACTAGCTATAAGGAGTCCACTGAATTTGCTGGTGCTTGAGACTCTCTGATCTGATTTTTCATCTTTGTAATCTTTTAATAGGTCAAAAAAACTTTCCCCTGAAGTACCCTGCTTATCTATTGATGAGGTGCTGCCATATTCTCTGTGTAGCGATGGTCCAGATTTATAACTGGGTGAGATACATTCATCAAAGCTATCTATATCAAGTTCACTTAGGGTAATGTCACTATTACTACGCTGTCTTATTCTACGAAGAGCTTTTCTAGGAGAACTGTGGTAGCCATCAGGTGTGAGGAACCTAGAATCTAGATTCTCAGATTGTCTGGTTTTGTTTTTAAGTGTGTTTTGGATACTCTTTAACATGACAGAGTCACTAGCATTCAAGTTAATAGAGCTCCCCTGACTCCCAGGACTACTTTTTGCAGACATACTATCAAGACAGGTTGGTGTGTCCATTTCTTGACTTGATCGACTGTTTTCTTTGACATTTTCCTTCCTTGGAGGCCAGTCAGCAATCCTTGCCCTAACCCCCATTTTAGGAACCCCGGGAGTAGAAGTAATATGATGAGAGCCTTCAATGCGTGGAGGGCCTACTGGAGCCATCACTGAAGATCCCAAGCTGCCATTCTGTGACCTAAAGCGTCTCATATAAAAGTCATCTGAATGGACTTTAGGAGTTCCATCTGAGACTCCAGTGGCAACAGCCCTTTCAGTCTGGGACCGTTTCAAGCTGGTCATTATTGGAAAATGTGTTTGTCCTTAGTGAGTTCCAGAAGAAAATACAGTCATCTCTGCCTTTTAACTTTATAGCTCTCTTCTGGAGAATGTTCTCCAGAAAATACAGAGGTTGCATGAGACCCCAGTTGTGATTGTTTAATATAGGGCTGAACAGTCTATAGATGCGACTCTTTTACAAACCACTGTTGTTCGATCACTGCTGACTTCTTCAAAGTCTTAATCGATCCATTTTAAGAAGCCTTTATCTTGCCACACATCCAAATATATTAACATTGCTTTGAGCCCCCAAATTTCAGTGGTTAAACTTGCTTTAACCTACAGCAAATAAAGAGGAAGACAGATTGATTAGTCAATGCACACATTTAGTTATATAAATGCAAATTTAAAGTGCCTATACAGTATCTTGGTACATTTTACTATACAGATTAATCATAATTAGAAGGCTGACGTATTTTACCACTTATTAAGTTATTTTCTGTATACAAAACAGACTTTCCTTCAGTTTAATAGCTGTAGGAAGAACATCATTTCAATCAGCAAAATACATTTAAGATATATATATAATTCTAGATTTTCTGGGATCCTTGGAAATGTGACCTTAATGAGTTCTCCTTTCTCTCTGCTCTCCATGGATGACCCATCCTTAGAACTGTCTCTGCCCATGGCACCTACTCCTTTGTTTTATTGTGGTGTGCTCATTTAACTTAGATATGAATGCAAAGGCAAGTGGTAGAGAGAGGCACTACTAGTGGCTAAGAGGTAGCAGTGGTCCCTTTTGAGGTTCTGGGGCAACAGCAAAAGGGACTCAAAACAAAAAGCTTCCTCTGCCAGATTCATGGGATGGGAAGTAGTAGGTGGGAAAAGGAAGAGAGAACACCCCAATTGTGTCCTATTCCTACCCAGTACCACCACCTGGAGCTACCGTATTAAGAGGGCAGGATATCTTGGACAGGCGCCAGCCTCTCCAGACCCAGTATGGCCCTTTATCCCAGCAGAAGACAGAAAGAGATCCCAAGGCAGCAGTGACTAAATCCTGAAAATTTCAACACAAACCAGAGTATGGGTGCACAGGCATCTCTTACACTTTGAGGGAAGCAGCAAAGGGTAGAGACTGATAAGCTTCTGGGAGCCTGTCACATTATTTCCATAATAGCAAAGCAATTTTGTCAGCCACTTCTGGCATTTTTTAAATATAAAAACTCTGTATTAGGTGGCCAAACCAAGACTCACAAGTTACATGTGGCTCTTTGAGCTTATTTTGTGGCTCTCTGCTCACTGCTGCAGGTTCCCACAAGAACCTACTTGCAGCTCTCAAACATCTGACATTTACTGTATGTAGCTCTTCTGTTGAGCAACTCTGGCCACCCTGCACTATGTACCACTCTGTAACATCCCTAAGTGGTGAACAGTAAACAGGAATAAATATTCAAAGGAATAAAAACAACTTTAAAAACTTTAAACAAAGCTATGGTTTGTCATTCAGGGATGAACGTTCCTGTAGCAGATGCCCAATACAAGGCTACTACCTGACATCCACTAGCAAGGAATTCTACATGGGCATGGGGAACTAACACATCATGAATACTACTCTGAACAACTAGGAATAAACAAAGAATACACAGTTCTTATGTGTAATGATGGAAACAGTTGAACATTAAATGGACCCAAAGGGTTTGTTCTCTTAGCACAGCTGATGGAATGATCCTACCACCCATCTCTTCTTCTATTCTAGCTTGATGGAATGCCTACTACAAGGTAAAAGCTGAAGGGTGTAAAGAAGTGAGAGTAACTGATCTTTCAGCACATCCAATATCAAGGCTCTTTTTTCACCTAGCACACAAACCATGTTTGGGATAGTGTTTAAAACGCTGGACTGGGATTTGGGAGATGCAAGTTTGGGGCCAGTCACAGACTTGCAGCATAACCTAACTCACCGGGTTGTTCTCATGAGGATAAAATAGAGAGAAGGAGAACCTTTGAAGCTGCCTTGGGTTCTTTGCAAGAGGAAGAAAGGTGGGGTATAAATGTAGTAGTAATAGTAGTAGTAGTAAATCTGCAGAGAACATCAGGTTTAGCAAGACCTTAGAGGGCCACCCTGAAAGGCTGGTAAGCTCAACTTTATTGCAAATTATGTAGGCTTGCAATATGCATAAGTCATTTGATTTCCCTCCATCAGTACTCCAGACAGCCATAAGGTATTCAGGCTTGAAAATGTATTCTTTAAAATAAATTATCATGTGCCTTTTGCTCACACACAGAACTCTTTGGGCTCCCACCTGGGTGCTAACTCGAGTATTGAAATGGCCCAAATAATAAAAAGTGGGGGGAAGCATTTTTACTTTTTTGTTTTATCTGACTCTATAAACAGAAAAAAGGGGGGAAATGAGCCCAAAAACTCATAAAAGTACTGTAACTTGTCTTCATACATGAATTTAAAAATTTAAAAATTCTACATTTAAAACTGTTTCCACATTAGAATATAAACGATATCTTCTAACAGCAAAGTGCCTTTTCCATTCTAATTTTACAGGAATACTGGAACAAAAGGTTCTTTCCACATTACCCTGGCCTAAACTGATTACAAAGTGCTTTATTGTCCTTTCAAGAGCCTTAACAACAACAAAACAACACCTCCACAAATACACCCTGGCAGGGAGTAGACAAAGGCAAGGGAATGTCAGCATAAAATCCCCCACTGCTGTATACACCCTTGAACACAAAGAAGAGCATCCTATTCAGAAACTCAACCAATTACACAAAATGTGGCATTTAAATACTTGCCAAGTCTACTCATGTAAGGATGTTGCTGAACCAGCACCAGGCTGACAGAACAGTATTATGTCCAAGTCAAGGATTCTGACAGTTCTAGGGAAACCAGCACTTTCTGCAGTCTTGTTCTCAAAAGTAACAACTGCTTGTTGCCACAGTAATTAAGCGTTACCAAGAACACTTTCTGCTTCCAACAATCAGCCAATTGTAATGGAGTACTGTGGAGAAGCACTTCTGACTGAGAAGATCAGTAAAAAGGAGGATTCCAAAATGCACCATTTTGTAGAAGGTTCCACTTGTCTAAACAAAAGCTTCATCTTTAAAGATGCAATAAAATGCACCATAAATTTGCTGCAATATCCACATGTCCTAGCCGTTCTTCATTATTAAAAGAACAGCAGCCCTTATGTAGGCAAGTAACAAGCATTATGTCTTAATTTCTCTGGCAAGACCATTTCTAGATAGTTAATCAAACAAACTCCCTCTCGGATGCACACCATAATGTGTGAGGGGGTTTGAGTGTGTCAAAGAAGCAAAGAGTAATACTGTAAGGAGACCAGAGTAGTCTCACTAGGCCAGTACCCTAGTAGCAGCATCCAAGGCAAAATGGTCAAAACTAAGATAGTGGACTAAGATGCATCCACCCTCTTCAGGAAGAATGGTCACATTAGCAAAAAGAGAATGGATCTCATTAATGGTGATGAAGATGGAGAAACCTCTGAAAGGCAGCTGTGGGGCAGCAGTGGTAGATGAAGGAAACACTGGCAGAGGATCTTTTGCAGATAATAGCAGTGACACTCGAGCTAACCACCGGTTAGTACTGCACAGAAGAAGGCAATGGTAAACCACTTCTGAATTTTCTTCACATACCCTATGATGAAACAATCCAAAATGAAACAAGAGATAGTGCTAGAAAATGAGAATCCCAGGATGGAAGGCACTTTATTAGCCACTGAGGAAGGGACAAATATGAGTAGCACTGTCACTAATGAAGCTACTAGATTAAACCTGAAAGGAAGTCTAGAGGGTGACATGCAGAAGTGAAAGGAAAGTCCAATGCTGCTCAACACATACATGGGACATGGAACATGAGAAGTATGAATCAGGGCAAACTGGAAATAGTAGATTAAGAAATGGAAAGAATGAACATCACAGAATTGAGTGTGAGCAAACTAAAGTAGACTGGAGTGGTACTTTTCCAATCAGACAAACACCAAGTATATTCCTTTTCCTCTGGAAGTGACAAACTCAGCAGAAAAGGAGTGGCTCTAATACTGAAGCAAGACGTAGTACAAATAGTATAAGGAGATATAATGAAAAATTTAACCAAAATGACCAAATAGTATAAATCAGAATTAGCAGAAAATCTATCAACATAACCATCATTCAATTCTAAGTTCCAACAATAGGTGCTGAAGAAGAAAAGCTGTTATTTCCTTCAATACAGGTATGAATTTTAAAACAAATCAGTAGCAACCACATCAGCTGAAATCCTTTAAGACCTACAAATACAATTTACATATATGTAAAATGACTGGTGGAGGATCTTCAAATTGACACTGCTGGCAATAACTGTATGTGACACTAAACTCCCTCAGAAAACTTTGTATTTCAAACAGGATCTTTGTATTTCAAACAGGATTTTTGTATTTCAAACAGAACTAGGTGGCTTGGCCATGCCATAAAGGAAGGAGAAAACGACTGAAGTTGGTGGGCTTACAACTATATCAACAATCCCACCTTATCCCCTAAAAGATCACTGCTCCAGAAATAAAGAAAAAATACAGTATTTTCTATTCAGTGTAGTTTACTTGCAAGGTATAAATTTGACTTACCAAGCATAATTTGAAAATAAAATATGTATCAGTTTTAAAAGTTATCTGGAAAAAAGGAAAGAATGAAGAGTTACTTCAAAGGTTTAAACCTAAATTTCCCAGACTACTTCAAACTGGCAATCATTCAGGGTGCATTTTTCAATGACAACGTATCTTCTACAAGTCAAAGTAAAACCAGATTCTTAATGCTTATTTCTAGGAGAATCTTCACATTCTTGGTTGTTGTAAATTTAATGCAACTGCAGAAATGTTAAATATTTGAGGAAATAAACTTAGTTCTTTTTCTAGGGTCAACTGTAATCTTCCAACTTGATTATAATTTTTCTGTGATCATCAAAGCAGGAAAAGCATTAAGAATTAAACTACACTGGATGACCTCAGGAAATTAACTGTTATGAAACATGATGCTATTGGTGGATTGTTTGATTCATCTGATTTGTACACTGCCTTTCTATCGAGAAAAATGGCACATGAGGGAGCTAGATGGTAAACTTTTCTAAAAACAATTACTCAAGAATCCTCTTAAGGCATGATCCTATGTACATTTACACAGGAAAAAAGGTTTTTTCCCAACTAAATGCACGTAAGATAGTGCTCTTAAACAATGAAATGGTTTAAAGTGAGAGAAACGGGAGGAAAAAAGGCCACTTCATATTGATATTATCATGAGCTTTATAAATAGCTTTTATTCAGTATAGGAAAGAACCAGGATGGGAGCAACACTTTCAATCTGCTTTATCTGGTAACATTTCTTTTTATAAGTTATGTTGAACTGCAGAATCAAAATATTCAAAACAACCACAGCACACAGACTGGACTCATTTGAGACTTACTAACTCTCACAGGCTCCAGATGTTCTTTGATTCCAATGCTCAAGTTCACACGCTACAAAATACATCTATTATAGTTCAAATATGGTTTTACTTTTCTAAGAGAGTAATGCAAAGGAAAGGGAAGAACCCTTTCCTTAAATGTTCTTCAAACCTAAATGTCACTTCTAAGAAAGCTGAAAGAATAATAGAACTCCGATAACATTTGTTTCTCATTTTTCTTCTAAGTAGCTCAGGACAGCATTTTTGAGATTATGTTATTTTATCTTCACCAGAAACTCCAACAGGTTAGGCTAAAAGGTAGTGACTCTCATGCCCATTTACTGAGTTTCCCAGTTAAGCACGGAGTTAAAGGCCAATCTCTCAATCTGATTCAATTACACTGTCTATTACACCATGCTGGCTTTCAGCTTCCTAAACTTCCCATTTCTTGTCATAAACAAAATCAGGACAATCAACTATAATACAACATTCCTGTTTCATGGTACAGTGGTACCTTGGCTCACAAACTTAATCCGTTCCAGGAATCAGGTCGTAATCCAAATTGGTCATGAGCCAAGTTAAATTTCCCCATAAGGTTCAATGTAAATAAGGTTAATCCATTCGGTAACCATTTTTTCAATCAGAAAAATGTGAAGCAAAGTGACAACAAAGATGGTGGCCATCTCCCCTCCCCCACACCCCAAGCACAAGCACAACCATCCCCGCCCCCCCAGCATGACCGAGATCGCGCTTGTCATCCCTGCATGCGCCTGTCATCCCGGCGTGCTGGGGGGGGGGAGAGACGGGCGTGATCATGGGCACACTGGGGGAGGGAGAGATGGACACCATCTTGGCCATCTCCCCCCTCCACCCCCAGCACGATCGCAGCCATCTCCCCACTCGGGGGTGGGGTGGGGAGATGGCTGCAATCGAGCTGGTTGCGGAGGGGGGATGGCCGAGATTGCGCCCATCTTTACTGCAGGAGCGTGCCTCTAATCACGCACGCCTTCCCTGCATAAAAGCAACTGTGATCGTGGCCATCTCTCCACTGGGGGGGCGGGGATGGCTGCGATCTTGGTCGCCACCCAATATGGAGTTCGCAAACCACATCAAATTTTAATGAAATTTTTGTTCATGACCCGATTTGTTCGTGAACCAAGGCTTTCATGAGCCGAAGTACCACTGTAACTGCAAATGGTGGCTAATTCACTGGGAAGGGCCCAGCTAGCAACCAAAGCACAACATCAAAAGCACTTGCTAGCAGGATGGGTGTTCTGGGAAAGTGCTACTGACATTTCCATAAGCCCTGATACTGCTAATGAAACGTAGGAGTTAGCAGCTAGACACCTTTGGTGCTTTCCCAATATCCATGTCTTCCACACAGATGTGACAGTGGACTGTTCCATCGAGGAGGAGGAGAATGTTAGAAGTGACCATGCAGCACGTTCAGACTGGCAGCTTCTTGAGGCCCGCACAGGTTATTCTGGGCCATACAGAAAGCAGCTGAACAGGTTTCTGGCTAGGTTAAGACTTTCTCATTCTCCTGGAGACATTCAAAAGGCCCTGGACTATAATTACATTATTTCCACACTGAGTAATGGACTATAAAAGTACAAGTGAATAAAGGCTGCCACTAGGGAGTACAAAATTGTGCCAGGAGATCTGCCTCTTCAGTGGTCAGCCAAATCTATTATCCAATGTCAGTGTGTACTATAAAATGCATTCAAAAGCACTATAGTCTTGTATCACCAAATCATTCCTGCAACCATCAGAATACATAAGAGAAACCTCAAAAAATAAAAAAGGGGAAGCAAATGTTTTGATAGGAAGATCATGACACTCCTTTGTCCCACCATGTAAGAAAGATCTCACAATTCCAGAAAAGCTCAGCCTAAAGATATTGAAAAGTATAAGCACATAAGGATTTTTCCAGTGCTACAATGTATGATGCATCTGATTCAATCTGAAATCTAGTGTGCTCATCCATATGTGGATTTTGAACTTTCAGTAGTTAAGGAGCTGAATATTATCCCAGATCCCTGTCGGCATGACACACCTATCTCCAATTTCTTCACACATCTTTCTTTCATTTACGCAGCCCATTAATTATCAAAATACTTTGAAAGGCTTAGTCGCAGAACCAGTTATGCAAAGGTTCCCCTCACTCAAATTTATGTCATTTATATCTAATGTTCCTCTGAAGAATTAAGAACAACCTGCACAGATTATTTCAAGTTGATCATCCAGAAACCAGACAAGCTTACTTTGAGCTTCAAGACCACAACAAACACATTGATTTCACCATCCTTGCATCGTTTAACTGAGTATGTTCTTGACAAAGGATATAAAAACAAACACACATAAACCTGCTGAAAGAATTAATTAGATAAAAGGTAATCAAATACTTGGGGAGGAAGATAAATAGATCAATTAATAGGAAGTGAAATTTCATGGAAAACTGCCAAGTTCATTCTAGTTAATGCACACACAGAGGTGTTATAAACTGCCCACTGGCCATTGGGAGGTATAGAAATGAAATAAGTACATTATAGCAATTGCCTACATTCCAAATAATTTTTCCTACTAAATCTCCTCACCTCTCTCCCTCTTCCTCTCTCTCTCTCACACACACACATACACACTTGAACTTTGCCTCTGAATCATGTAAGGGCACACCCAGCATTTTTAATCGCTCCTTATAACTGTGTAAACACATAGTACTTAACATATCCATGTGTATTTGTCTATTTTGCTTTCACCTCACACCCATTCTAAATGTGAACATAACACTTGTATTACACAAGGGTGTCAACCTTTTTCAGCTAGGCTGGAATTAATAATGTGAGTAACACTCCATGCGACTAAAGTAAAGTCAGATGAAATGCCCTACAATTAGGAACATTAAAAATGTAAAGTCATAGTCCCAGAGAAATTGGAGATTTATTACTTATTCAATTTATACCTTGCCTTTCAACCAAGAAAATAACACTCAAGATACTTAAAGCTCACAGGATTAGACAGATACATGCTAGGGGCAAATACGACATTTCCCTTACCTACCCCAGACTTAAGTTAAAACTATGCACTAGAGCCTGCACCTTCAGTCTCATATTGTCACATACTTGAGGAAGGTTGCTAAGATAAATGTTTGAGAATCTTTGCATTTCAGAGATCTATTTATGATTGGGATGTATGTGCAGAAAAGAGGGTGTGCCTATTTTCATCAACCAGAAAAACAAGCTGACCCCTCTCTCTTACAAAATTGATTCACTTTCTGCACTGGATCCAACAACTCCCTTGATTAAAAGAGAAGCAACCATGCCCCTTTTTCAGTCATTTGAGTAGACAGGGGATTTCCATCAGGACAATACTTCCCAGAGGTGTTCCATTTTCATCCACTGAAATGAAAAAATCCACCTGTAGGAGCCAAGCAAAACACTGAACAGAATGATGCTGTGCTGGTCTTGCAAGACTGTACCACTTGCAAGACTGGGTGCATGTCTGAATGCTCACTTGTTAAGTAGAGAATGCTCATGTGTGGGCAACCGCCATGTACAATGAAAACTGGCTTGTTGGGGTTACGTTAGGAAGGACATAAAGCAATGTGGGGAATGCAGTGCTCATTTAGAAGACCATCCTGGGAGCTCCTTCATACCTACCTACCTACCTACCTGGAAACATTCACAGACTTGAGGCAGATAGCACGCAGAGAGCAATACCTCTGTGCTCCCCCACCCCAATGATTTATGGAAGGGGAACAATCTTTACTATAGGCCTTAGTCTGCTCAGAAGCCTCTAGGGACCAGATTTAAGTAATCAGTGCCACAGATTCTTAAAATGCTCAGTAAATGTCTGAAGATACAAAGGTACCAGGTGGAACGGGGGGTGGGGGAGGTTCTCTGCAAATTCCACAGGTAGATTTGTCTACATTTAGCAATAAATCTAGCCCTTCATATTTAATATTGGACAGAAATTGGAAGCAATGTTAATCATAGGTAGCCTTCAACACTGATAAACCCTTTCCTTTAATAAGGAAGCAGTCAGACACAATCCTGGATAAGTGCCAATGGATAGGGTTATTTTTTTCAGAATGTTCTGCTTTCCTCATTAATTATGGTCAATAATAGAAACTATTCCCATATGTTCCTGCCTGCATTTTTCGGTTTTGTATATATTATATAAATAATTACATAAACAACTTGAGTTAGATTCAAATTCAAAATCCTCACAAGC